TTTACCGATTAAGATTACTTTTTGTAACATTCTTATTTTTATTTAAAACAATAATAGCAAAAATTTAGAATTAAATGGAAAATAAGATAAATTTTTAGTTACCGGTCAAATATAACAGTAAAATTATCATATATTCCTTTCACTCTGCTCAACTGTACAAAATTTTGAATAATGAACAATAATGATTAAGCAGAATCTGAATAAGAAACATAAAAATACATGAACATACATTGTTATCATAATAAACATAATGTTAACATTTACAAATTTCAAAACATATGAAGTCTTAATGAACAACTTATCCATCACGTGACCAAAGAGACACTAGTCATCCCTATGCCATCCCTCTATCATCACTATATCGTCAGAGTCGAGGTCGTCATCTGGTCTGAGATATAGATCACTAGGGTCCGTAGTAACCTGGGTACCAGTAATTCTCTCAAACATGAGATGGTCTCCCAAGATCATCGTGATCATGATACGTGAACAGATATGTCAAAGCTGTTGGGGTCCTAATGGTGCTAGGAAAGATATATACACATAGATTATGATAAATTCTACTTACAGGAAAATCAAAAGAAATACTAAAGGCTAATTCTATTTCCATCATAATAAGCTCACTAGGTACATCACTTTCGTATACAATAACCTTAAAGAACCAAAGTCTCTGATACTAATCTAATCCTCTCAGTGGGTGCTGTCATCTTGGTTTCCTGAAATGATTATGTAAAGATGAGTTTCTATTTTCATTATTAAGCATACAATCACAAAATATTCAATGATACAGATAAAGTAATCATACAAGTATCATATTATAAAATCATTATTCTTCTAATTTATTCAACTTAAGTCTATTGCTACTAACATTTTCATTTCTCAATTTCACTGCCCTGGGATCCCTCGAGATCTTTCTTAGCATAGATAGTCGCTGGATAGCCGTAGCTACACGGATACAATGTGTACCGACTTAATCACTTTTAGCAAAAGCATGGTCAGGATTTTAGTCAGGAAACAAGTGTGAGGCTTGTGGTGCTCCTACTCTCATTTGTCTTGTGCAATTCAAGAGGAGCATCCACCACTCTCATTTCTCCAAGACTTTTCAGTCTTCTCCATCTTCCATACCCCTAGTGTACCTCTGAACTATCTATACCCGTCCTTAATATATCCTTCCCTTTCCCTTTCCATGTTTCTATCTCATCTTTCTATATTTTTCTTTAGTTCATTATTATATCATATATTACTCAATCATTGCCGAGAGTTAGTTCCCTCAGACTCAGTCCATCATATACATGCATATATTCAAAATGAAATCACACTCATCAACATAAAACATGTTTCGCATATATCAAATCATATTCCAAGCATATCAAAAACATATTATCACTCATCACATATTCAAATCAAATACGATCATACATGCAAACACAATATTTCTTAGTAATAAGATAGAGCTCTCTTTGCCTTAGAAAACTAGTTCTGGGTGATGAGAAAGTAAGAGAAGGTCAATTCACGGATCAAGGTAGTTCAACACCTTATAGATAATTCTTTGAGAAAAGAGAAAATAGATAAGATAGAAGCGAAAATGAAAGGTTCAAGCTCTAAGATACTCACCAACGATTCCGTAGAGTTGAAGTTTGAGCTTGTGTTCGATGAAGTATTGGAGTTTCTAAGGCTTTTACCTGTGATAAGGAAGAAAAAGTTCAGAGAATGTGAGAGAGGTACGTGAGTTATAGAAATGAAATGAATTTTCATGTTGGAAATCTCTAAAATACCATTCAGCCTTGCACGATCTTGCTTGAGCGACAAACATCTCGCTTAAGCGACAACATCTCGCTTGAGTGACAGATCCTTCGCCTGAGCAAGATATGCAGACAATGGTTTTCTCAATGTTTTTCTGGTATACCTGCTTGAGCGAGCTACATCTTGCCTGAGCGAGATGGCGATCAGAGAGGACGAGATTTCTTCTGTGAGTCCTCGCCTAGACGACACAGCTCGCCTGAACGAGATCTCTATCTCGCTTGAGTGAGGTTACGATTGAAAAAATTCTATCTTATCTTGCTTGAGCAAGATTACCCTGAAAGTAGATATTTTTGGGCGCTCAGTTTCGCTTGAGCGTGATCTTCTACATCATCCTCTTCTAAAACTCCTCTCAATTTACTCCTAACACACCCTAATGCTATTTAATATCAATTAAAACATAATTTTATAAATAATGAAAAGAGAGTGTTACATTTTCCTTGGTCTTTGTGTGCCCTTTCTGTCCCTTTTCCCCTTTCACCCATTATAGTTGCACTAGCTCCTATGGACACTAACATCCCTACCTCTGACCCTAACCCAAATAGTGCCCTTGAGACTTGTTCACCTTGACTATCTGTTCCTCCTCCTAAACTTGAGTGGGTGAATATTCATGTGGTGGAGTCATTTTTCTTTCCTTGCCCACCTACTTAGCCACTTAACTTTCACCTATTGATGAGGTCAGACCTTCTGACCGTAGTCATTCACTACCTCCTCCCCTATCACTCTCCCGTATATTACTACCTACTCCTGGATGGTTAGAGGATGTAAATGGAGACCTACCTAACCTGCCAATCAACCCTAATGCGACGTTATCCACTTCTTCATATTCTAACCCTTTAGAGGAGTATACTCCTCTTGATCGATGTTTTCTTGAGCTTTGTTTATTTAGGGCTTGGGATTGCTTGAGGGGTTAGAGGGTTGATAATATTTTTTGCTTCTTTTTTGTTGTATGATATATCCTCCCTGGAATGTAATAGTTACTTAACATTCTTTTTATTTCCCCTAATGATTGGACACAGTTTATGTTGTATGTACGCTGTCTCAGGATTATATAACCCAACAAATCATTTTGTGTGAGATTATTCTTTATCATGATATGCTAATAGTGTAGGTACCTAGATTGAAGAAGTAGAGAGATAGAAACAAGTTTCTCTCGCTTAAATGCTTAATGATTGATTAAGCAATTCCACTTATTGTATGTTAGCTCTCTTTTAAAATATAAACATAAGAAGGAGGTGTTGTATACTTTTAAGTGTATGTCCATTGTACATCAAGTCTTAGATTTAGGCACAGATGTCATCCTACGAGGGATCTTGCCTACAAGTCCTATGAATTGTGGAAAATAATATTACAAAATTAGAAGTTATATAGTTACACTAGCTTTGAAGTTTAGAAAAAATAATCTGATATAAAATCTATTATTAAAAATCCAATCATTTCTATTATTTCATATTAATCAAATAGCAAGTCCAAAATAAATGTTCTAGTGACTTATGCCATTCAAATTTTTTTATTTTAAGATTAAAGCATAACTAGTTGGATAAAGCAAAGCTAAAAAAACAAGACTAATTATATTTTGAAATAATCTTAACTCAAAAATTAGAAGTAGCAAAATAATTCCTAATTACATGTATAACAAATTCAAATCCTTCATTACATCTAACACATTCATCATTATCTATAAACTCCATATTTTTCCTTTCTTCATTAGTTAATAATTTACCACGAGTCATTTTTTAAAGGGAAATCTTGATTTTAGGGAGCTCTTTCATTTCCATACCATATCACACAATTCAAAGTTAAAATTATGCATATTATAATTTACAACAATAATATCATAAGTTGTTTTTAATAAAAAAAAGATTACCATTAGAAGAAGGATACTTGCTAGTTACACCCTAACCACTATCCTAGTTAGGGTTGAGCAAAAAATTCAAATTTAAAGGTCTAATCCATAACTAAAATTAAACTAATTTTAAAATATAGATTTTTAATAAAACTAAATATTTGGACTTATTTTATTTTCTCATCGAGATTTAGATCAGATCTCCTTTGATAAATTTAAATTTTATCTATTAAAACTGGTTTATTTTAAAAAATAGTGAGTATATATAAACGATTGTTTTTTAAGAGTCCAACTATATGATTTATTCAAATAAAATTCACGATTATGTTACAAAAGGACACTGTGAAAGCATTTGGCTTGTACTGCAGTTTTTCTCTATTCCACTCAGAGACAACAATTGAAAAAACATTTAAAAACATAAAAGCTCCAATTAAAATCATACTTTTTATTCCTTTCTTTTTTTTTTCTTAAAAAATTATTTCAATACAAAAAAAACTAAAAAAATTTATTTAAAGTCATAAAATAAATAAATAAATAAAACTTTATTTAAATTACCATATATTTCAAAATATTAAGAATACTGATTAACGTTTTCAAATAATTTTTCAAAAAAATACATTAATAATATTTCTAATTCATCAAAACATACATTTAAAAAAAATAACTTTATAATTAAAAACATAATAAAAAATAATATAAAATTAGAAAAAATTAATTACTTCATATTTATATAGCACTAAGTAAGCATTCAGAGTTAATTTTGATCAAAATAAAATTTAAAACTGATTTTAAATTAAATCTAAATTTTAAAACTAATTTAAAAAAATTAAAATAAATTAATTTAAAATTCAATTTATATAATTGAATTTAAAGTAAATTTGGATTGGTTTTATGAAAATTCAAGTTATGCTTATCCTCGTTAAGATGTATCAAATCTTTTGGAACGCTGAATTCTGAAAAGTTAGCCAAACGCTTGATCGTCATTAAAAATTGATTTTATTTTCATTAAATTCAAAAATTTATTATATTTAATACTAATTAGAAAAAAAAAGTCTTTTATTTGAATTATGATTTAACATATAAATTATTATTAAGTTGATTTGATTTGAATTGACGTGGAATTCGATGCCACAGAAAACAAAATATCAAAACAGAAATATTTTTTAAATCTTAAAGATATAAAAATATTTATTATAAAAAAAATCAAGTCAAATCTTATCTAATGAAAATTTTAAATAAATAAAAATTAAATATAAGAAAAAGTAATCAGGTTAAACTAACTTCTATTCAAACTTTTGAATTACATGCAACTTATTTAAGAAGAAGAAGCTGCGCATGTTGAATGAGTCGTCAAAAAATGGGCTCTGCTCGGTGTCGTTGGTATCTTCCTCACGAACTCATCGTGGAAATCTTGTCGTACATTCCAGTGAAGGGTCTTATGCGATGGAGGTGTGTTTCGAAGCCTTGGAATGATCTCGTTTTGGATCCTACTTTTGTGAAACTGCACCTTCAAAGGTCCTCCAAGAACATCCACATGTTATACACGTGGAAACCAATATTAGATCCCAAAGGCTTTAGGTGCGGCCCATCCTCCATGCACTGCAGCACCGTCCAAGGTATACTAGAGCACCCATCTTCAGCCGTTAACGGAGGTGAGGTTCCATGCGAGTTCGATAATCCCATCGACATTATTGGAACCTGCAATGGATTGGTTTGTTTAAGGGTTATTGAGCCATTCGACGAGAATGATGTATACAATGAAGTCTATATCCGATTTTGGAATCCTAGTATGAGGATAACATCGGACTTATCTCCGCCGTTGGAAAGTCAAATATTATGTTATAGTCGGTCGTGCGTATCATTGGGCTTTGGCTATGATGATTCAAGTGATACTTACAAGGTATTGGCACTGGTTATGAAACAGAAATCAACTAATATAGAGGTGTCAGTTCACTGCTTGGGGGACAAGTTCTGGAGAAAGATTGCAAATGCTCCAACAGATACAAGGATTGAACGGTATAAGGGTCACTTTTTGAGTGGCACTCTTAATTGGATGGCACGACATGTCCAAAGAACTGATGAGCATGTAATTTTTTCCTTTGATTTAAGGAAGGATACATACAGATATTTGTCAATGCCTGATGGTCTTGAAACAATGGAGCGTTTTCAAGCAGAGCTTGGGATTTTGAAAGGTTGCCTGTGCCTGGGTGCTTATGATATTCAATCGGATGCCGATTTTTCTCTCTGGCAAATGAAGGAGTTTGGAGTTCGAGAGTCTTGGACTCTTCTCATGATAACTAGTTGTGTCTATCTTCAAATTGATTCCATTGTACCTTGGGCTTTTGAGCCTCGTCCGTTGCGCATATATGAAAATGGCGATGTTCTGTTGCTGATGAATCGATCAAGGTTCAAACTTTTTCTGTATAACAAGAAAGACAATAGAATGCAGAACATTGAAACTATCAACAAATCAATATGTTTACACACCAGCGATTTTGTTCAGACGTTGGTTTTGCCTTATTGTAATTGAGCTGCCTTAGTTGTTAGTTGGCTGATGATCTATTTGTTTTTGTTACAATGTTTGGCTCATCTTGAGTTATTTAATTTGTTTGGTTTATATTAGATTCGTTTCGCTCATACTATACTATGGAATAGTAGTAATGTGATTATTCATTTGTACGAGTTTGAATCGGTCATGGATGGGTGATATTAAAAAAACAAAGGGTAGATGAAAAAACAGTATTAATTCTTCGCTTCATATTAGTTTAATTTTGCTTCATAATGTCTGTGTTAAAGATCACAAGAACTGCATGTGCTGCACCTCATTTGCACGTGGGTATGTTAAGAAAGCACCTAGTATTAATTTCATTTGCTTCGTAAAGTCTTTATGTTATGGATTGGTCTGTTAAGTGTTGTGCCTTACGAAGCTGATTATGAGAATGATAAATTAAAAGGTGTCGGTGTCCACTCATTGCTGAAATGTGACGTTGGGGTTTGGCTTACGACCATTCAAGTGATTCAAATTCTCTGTAATTTTTGTACAACTGCAGGCTTCAATCTAAATTCACTTGAGCTAATTTTATTTTGTTTAAGTTAATTTTCATGAAAAATATTTTTTGTTTAAACTAAAAAAATTAGATTAAGTAAGTTTATGATAAAAAAATATTTTTCTTTTAAATCAAAAAAATTGTTTAAGTTAAAATTATAAAAAAACTTAAATTTTTTTTTTAAATTATTAAAATTTTAAAAAATATTTATTTCTCATTAATGACTACCTGTCAAAGATCTTTATATATATCATCCCACTAAATATTTCAAATATATTATTTAGTGTAATACTTATGCTAAGCATTGATGAGTTAAACCTATTTGTAATTAAGTTAAATTGTTAAAAATGATAATAAAAATTATAAAAATGATAACTTTGAAAAAATAGTTACAATAGTATATGTTTTGAAATTTTTAAGTTTTTATAGTATAATCATAATGTGTGACCACGTCCTAATGCATAAATGTTTCTCAAAATTTTTTGTAATTTAGAGAAATAAAAATTACTTTTTCACCTATTTGCTTAAATAATTTTTTTTGTTTTAAATAAAAAAATTTATTTTATTTTTTGTCAAATTCGCTTACACTGATTTAAACTATAGAGTGCAATTTCTGCTTAAATTACGGAGAATTTGGATCCTTACGGTACTAGTCATATAAATACCTGAAAGTCTTGAAATAACGGAGTATCTGGAAGTAGAACTTGGGCTTTTGAAGGGTTGCCTTTGTATGTTTACTAATCATTATCACTCGGAAATCGATTTTGGTCGGACTTTGGAGTTCACAAGTCTTGGACTCGGCTGGTAATGTGTAATTATCGGTATATTTAAATGATAAAATTTTAATAAATAAATTTCTTTTTCAGGCAGTCAATCTACCTTGAATTTTATCAATGATAAAATTATAATCATATTTTTTAACTCCCCAGAAATATTTGAAAGCTCAAATATCTACCAATATTTGATGTGAATATAATACCAAAGATAAAAGTCAACTTATCTTTCTTGACATTTAATATGCTCAAGGAAAGGTCTTGAAATTTTGCAAATTATATTTTAAACTTATGGCCTAACAAAAATTTTCCACCATTGTAGACATAATTTTGACTTGAGAAGACTTTGATTTTTAAAAAAAGAACATCATTTACCAAAAAAATAAAATAAAGAGATATCTTTTGCCCATTTTAAGAAATACAAATTGGACTCTAAGATTGTTTTCCCTCACTTTATTGATAACAAGTAGCCACATGCATAAGATAAAAATATTTATAAATAAAGGATCACCCTCACATTCTTTTAGAAAACAAAAAAAAGTTAAGTTCTAATCATTCTACAAAAAAATATGAAAGAAGTAAACAAATAAAATACAATAACATTGAGAATTCTCTCAGAAAATTCAAAGTAATAAAGATTATTTTTTTATAATTTTTTTTTTAACTTTATAAATAACGATCTTTGTAATTAGTTTGAAAAGCACTTTACATAGACTTATTGGCTTAAAATCTTTAAAATGATTAGGATATCAATCATTGGAATAAAAACAAATATTTGTAATGCTAAGATAAAATTATTAGGAATCATATACATGTTAACGAAAATAATACACAAATATACACAAATGTTTATGTGATTAACACATCTCAAAGCATGAATATACACACATACATTTGATAAAAAAAAAAAAGTACTTTGTATTGATAAACATGGTAGTGATAATTGCATCTCTTTAGATGTCCACACAAACAATCTACCAAAGTCCTTTATCATTATTATGCTAGTAGTTTCATAAGAATAAATGTGACTACACACATTATAGTTACATATTTAATCCTCTCTTTTAGAAGAAAAAATCCTAATGGGTATGGTTCACTATATGAGCTTATTATTTACTAGTTTAACCCAATTAAGTAATAATTATAATTTAATTAAAATTTATTTCTTTAGCATGCTTTTTCTTGTAAACACCTTATAAGTTCTTTTAATATGTAGTTTACTATATTTAAATATGAGCTATTTATATTCAACATCGTGAATAGTAAATGATATTTAAGCAATACATCACTACTTTCAAATACTAAGAATGTTATCAAATTGACATACCTACTTGTATTTAAAAAAATATATATAATATGTAGACCTTCAAATCCTATATTATACTAATGGCCATTGAAATAAGTTAAACCAACAATACAAACATGTACAAAATGACCTCTAAGAACATTCAAAGTATTAATACACTCTAGTAATAGAAGCAAAGGTGAATAAAACACTCATTATAGAATACAAAATTAAACTTAAGAACTCTAACCTAAAGAAGATTACTTTTTCAACTTTAGTAGTCGAAGTAGCAAATTGAAGGGACCAAGTCGACTATGAAATCATTTAGGGAATGTCATGCTCTTAGACAAAATAACTACATAGAAATCATTGCCAATATTTATGATCTCAAATGTGTCTTTTTCTTTCATTTCTTTCATAATCTCACGAGTACAATTTTTATTAATTCTAATTGAGTTTTACACAAGTGAATCTAACTCAAAATTTTAATTTGTTGAAAATCCTAATAAAATTTCTAACACTTGTCATGCAATGAATACCAAAACAAGCCTTAGAAATTTAACCTAAGGAAGAGCTCTTTTTCTTTCCATTTTAACTACTAGAGAACAAATTCAGAAGACCAAGTTTGATCTGTTAAGTAATAATCATAATCATCTATGAATCATTTCCATTATTTTTAATTTGTCACACAAAACCAAACTGAACCATATAGAAACTTTTGTCAACATAAATAATCTCGATTATTTCTTTTATCTTTCATAACTTCATGCGTGAGAATGATACACAATGAAGCAACCCAATAGATTTATTAAGCAATTTAGCTATAGAGTATCAAACCACAATTTACGCATTTCTTGCAGCATTTCATCACTTAGAATTTATTAAGCAATTTAACTATAATAAGCTTTAACTTATTACCACCAATAAATTCTACCTTGTCTAAGTTATGTCCCAATAAGTTTGTGTTTTTGTTAAGAAGACATAAACATTGTACAACTACGCATAACCTTGGAATAAAAAGAGACAACACTCTTGTGTTAATTAGGATTACCTATCAAATCTTTACTATTAGGTGATTTCGATTTTTCATATGGCTTTTCAGAAATTCTTGTAGATAAAACAAAGTCTTCCATCATTGTTCCTCTACTTTAACTAAAGTTCTTAACTACTTTAATATACGTATATAGATTTATTGCAAATACATTGTCAAGGTAAATTTTTTTTACTGTACAATCCAACTATGGATTGACATACCAACAAGAGTAATATTTGATATGGTTTACAAAAGTTTAAAGTTTGATCATTATGAAAATTTGATTTGATTTTGTTATCATTGAAGCTTACAGAAATTTTATCAACCTTCAAACTGTATATAATTTATAATAATTTTGAATGAGAACGTTTCTAAGATGTTTTTTTCAAACGAAAGTATATTTAGATATTAATTTAAATTTTTATTATTTTAAGTATTTTTTTTTATATTAAGCATTTATTTACTACTGACCACACGGCATCATTTCAAGTATTTTTTTATATATTAAATATTTATTTTACTATTGAGTACATGATCAATTAGTAGGATATTGTTTTAGGGAAAGTTTTGTCACCCGATAATGGACTCAAACAAGTCTCGAATAGAATAGAAAAAAATACGTATAGTTTAGAAAAAAAAAAGTCATTTATTTTAATTTAATATCAACCGTTTTATATAATTTGTTAATACTAATTAATATTTAAGATTTATTTTCTCAAGCAAGAATATAAGGTCACTTCTGATTTTCATCATTCCAAGTTTTTTTTAGATTAAGGATTTATTATTTAATTTAATATTAAATTAAATATTTTTTTTTCATATCAAATTATATATATATATATATATATAATTTATAAATATTAATTCTTGAACAACTATATTTTTAAAGATCAATTTTGATTTTCAACATTCTAAGTATTTCTCTTTATTTAATGTCAAACTCTATAATAACTTGTGTTTATGTTCTTGAAATGAAGTATTTATAGAAGTTTTATCAAACGATAATATTTTTAAGGAATTATTTCTGATTTTCATCATTTATAGTAGTTTTATTTTATTTTTAATATTAAGCATTTTTTAAAATTAACATAAATAAATTTTCAAATTTTCGTGTCAACGATATAAGGAGTACTAAATCATGAACGAAAATGTTTTGACGTAATTTCTCAAATGCGAACAATTTTATTAGATATTTCTTACTTTCTATCATTGCAGTCAATTTTCGTATATATTAAATATTTATATTGTAATTTAATATTAAAATAAATATCATTTTTTATATCAATCTCTATTTATATTTTGTGAATATTAACTTATGAATGAAATTATTTTTAATAAGTGTTATTATTATCTTAGTTAAGCCACATGGTTTTTCCTATAATAAATGTTTTTTTATAATTTAATTTTGATTTATTTTTAAATTTTTATTAAGCTTAAAAATATTATTTATCTAACTTACTCTATTTAATATCGTAAAATATTAATTATTATAATAAGAGGAGACTCTTTTAAAAAGTTTATAATATAATTGTATATTTTATTAAAATAAACTTATTTTCATTTAATGATATCTATATAGTAAATATTAAATTTACTAATATATGTTTTTAAACATATATATTGTAGATACCTTATTAATTTTAAGTTTGTATAAATTATAATAAGAGCAAATTTACATTACTTATTTATATGTAATTTCTTATAAGAAAATAATTTTTTAATTGTTCATAATAAAATATTTTTTAAAATAAAACACATTTGTATAATATGCGTTCAGTTTAGAAATTTAAATATTAATTAATGAAATAATCAAAAGCAAAAGGGTCTTCATTTTGAGCAGTAAAACAAGAAAGAAACTAGTAATTTTTGTCTGTATTAGAGGGTATCATTAAATTAAATTTTTAAATAATTTAAATATTTTATATTACTACTTTAAAATTTAATAAATTTTAAAAAGAATGAATATTAAATAAAATATAAAAATAACTAATATTAATTAAAAATTAAATGTATAACGTAAAAAATACTATGCATGTTGGGAGAAAGAATTACTCCATAAAAATACTCTCATGTGAAAATACTCTTAAAAAACGCCATCATATGAGAGTTTTATTCAAATCACACTGATTCAAATATTAGTATTTACAAATTATAGAGAGAGAGAGAGAGAGCTTGTTTAACGATAATTTAAATTATAAATATTAAAACTTAATTGTCCTTAAAATTTGATTTAATTTACATAAAATTTATTTATTTTTTTACATTTAATGCTCATTAAATAAATATAAGTATTGATTAATAAATTGTAGAAATATTTTTTAAAAATTTAAATATAAAACATATGCTCAAATGAAAGAGGTTGTCACACATTACTTATATATATATATATATATATATATATATATATATATATATATATATATAAGGAATCAATTACACCACCGGTAAGATGTAAAATTTTGTGAAAATTCAATATTTATAAAATTGTTATTAAATGGTTCTTATTTTTGTAACTTTTAAAAGTATATTAAATTAATTTTGAAGTATATGAATAAAGTATTAAATGAGGAAAAAAAATTTAATGAATATTATAAAATATCAAGTCAAATCTTATCTCAAATATTTAAATAAAATAAATTTTGCAATTAAAATTTAAAATAAAGATAATTTGGAGAAACTAACTTTGATTCAAACTTTTTTAACAATATGTAGCAAGAAGCTGCCTCTTCTTGCTAGATACATTTTGTGTCTACATATATAATTTAAAATTCAAACGAAGACAAAAATTCTATTTTTTATAGAAGATCAAAGTCAAATATTATCTAATAAAAAATTAAATAAAATAAATTCTGTAATTAAAATTTAAAATAAAGGTAATTAGAAAAAACATATTTGATTCAAACTTTAGAAGTACATCCAACTATCTCTTCTCATTAGATACATTTCTCTTTCTATGTATAATTTAAAATTCAAATAAAACTTGAAAATCCTGATATGTTTTATAAAAGCTCAAGTCAAATCTTATCTCATAAATTTTTTTTAAAAAAAATAGATTTTACAATTAAAATTTAAAATAAAGTTAATGAGAAAAAACTAACTTTGATTCAAACTTTTGAAGTAAACGCAACTTATCTAACAATATAGCTAGAAGCCATTTCTTTTCACTGGATATATTTTCTCTAAATATAATTTAAAATTGAAATGAAGAACATAAATTCTAATAAATTTTATGGAAGAGTAAGTACAATATTATTTAATAAAAATTTGAATAAAATAAATTCTGCAATTAAAATTTAAAATAAAGTTAATTGAAAAAAACGTACTTGAATTCAAACTTTTGATATTTGAAATGCACGCAGCTATCTAACAATATTTAGCAAGAAATCATTTCTTCTCAAACCAAAAATTCTAATAGATTTTATCGAAGATTAAATCAAATTTTTTCTCATTAAAATTTAAAATAATGTTAATCAGAGAAAATTAACTTTGATTCAAATTTTTGAGGTATCTAACGCATCTAACAATATATAACCAAAAATTGTTTTTCTCAATACATTATATATAAAATTTAAAACTCATATGGAAATCGAAAAGATTTTACAGAAGATCAAATATCAAATCTTATCATATAAAAATTTATATAAAGATAGTTATAGAAAACTAACTTTGATTCAAACGTTTGAATTACATGGAACTGATTTAAGAAGAAGCTGCGCATGTTGAATGAGTCGTCAAAAAATGAAATCTGCTAAGTGTAAGTTGTATCTTCCTCACGAACTCGTCGAGCAAATCTTGTCGTACATTCCAGCGAAAGCTCTTATGCGATTGAGGTGTGTTTCCAAGGCTTGGAATGATCTCGTTTTGGATCCTACTTTTGTGAAACTGCACCTTCAAAGGTCCTCCAAGAACATCCACATGCTATACACGTGGAAACCATTGGCTCTCGAAGGCTTTAGGTGCTGCCCATATGCGATGCAATCCATCCCCGTCCAACGTTTACTAGAGAGCCCATCTTTAGCCATTGATGGAAGTGAGATCCCATGCGAGTTCACTAACAACATCACCCACGTCATAGGAACCTGCAATGGATTGGTCTGTTTGAGGGTTATAGTCCTTTCTCCTGTGAATGATAAATATGGTAAAATCTATATCCGACTGTGGAACCCTGCTACTAGGATAACATCACACGTATCTCCACCCTTGGAACTTCAATTATTATCTGTGACATTGGGTTTTGGCTATGACGATTCGAGCGATACTTACAAGGTATTGGCACTGGTTATGGTACAAAGATCAACTGATAGAGAGCTCACAGTTCACTGCCTGGGGGACAAGTGCTGGAGAAAGATTGCGAGTATTCCCACAAATTCAATGATTCTACAGTATAAGGGTCACTTTCTGAGTGGCACTCTTAATTGGATGGCACGACATGGCTCAAGAAAGCATGTAATTTTTTCGTTTGATTTAAGGAAGGAAACGTACAGATATTTTTCAATACCTGAAGCTCAAAAAACAACTCGGACTATTAGCGCAGAACTTGGGATTTTGAAGGGTTGCCTGTGCCTGGGTGCTTATAATCGTTATGAAACCCATTTTGCTCTCTGGCAAATGAAGGAGTATGGAGTTGAAGAGTCTTGGACTCTGCTCATGAAAACTATTCGTTTATATTTTCAGATTGATTCCGTTCTATTCCCTTTTTTTGAGCCTTATCCGTTGGCCGTGTATGAAAATGGCGATGTTCTGTTGATGCTGATGAATCGACCAAGGGTTGAACTTTTATTGTATAACAAGAAAGACGATAGAATAGAGTTCGTTGACCAGTGTTACATGAAAGACAATAAAATGAAGACCGTTGAAGCTGTCCACAAGTCAATGTGGATTTACTCCAACTATTTTGTTCAGACATTGGTTTTTCCTCGTTGGAATTGAGCTTCCTTAATTGTTTGTTGGTCGATTATCTATTTGTTTTTGTTACAATGTTTCATCCCATGGAAGTAGCAAATGTGAACATACTGATTTAATTTTACTAGTTCCTGTGCTAATCATTTTTTCGAAGCAAATTTGTATACTCTGATTTAGTTTTACTAGTTCCTGTGCTATTCTTTTTTCGAGTTTGAATTGGTCATGGATTGAAATGTGGTACTCAAAAATACAAGAGTTAGATGAAAAAATAGTATTAATTCTTGCCTAATATTAATTTAATTTGCTTTATAATGTCTCTACGTGTAGTATTAATTTCATTTGCTTCGTAAGTCTTTATGTATATAGATTATAAGAATTATCTTTCTCTTCGTAATCTTGTCAACTTTTGTTAATACTAGATATTAAAATAACGATTCTTTAAATAATTTTATATAGAATGATTTGAATTGAGCAATGTTATAGATTAATTTTTTCCTTTTCATCTAATTGATTTTTTACAATATAACAGAACCAGCTACCAAGACAATTCAGTGACGAGATAGTTTAGTGCCACATGAAGAATAGTTAGTTAAGAAATTAACTGTTCTTGTTCTAGTTATTTTGTTGTGGGTTTTATTTTCCTGTATTATGTATAATTAGCAGTAACATCACATCAAGCTAGCCATATAAATTCTTGTTGTATTAGTTTCGATGACTTAATTTTTTCTCAATAAACTTCAATCAAATAAGTATATTCAATTTTCTCTTTGAATCTTTTATGGTATCAAAACTGTGAAAATTCAGAGCTTGATTCTTTCCTCTCCAATGACGCAAGGACCTGGGCAACAGCGCTAGAACGCAAATGTCAATGACAATGATCTCAGTCCTACACAAGATCCTGCAAGTCCCTATTGCATCCATCCAAGTAACAATCCTTCAATTTCTCTGGTTTCATCGGTTCTCAATGGAAACAGTTATCACACATGGTCACAAATGATGAAGAGAACGCTAATTTCGAAAAACAAGTTCAAGTTTGTCAATGGTTCAAGTACAATGCCTACAAATTTCGAGCCTATGTTCGAGCTGTGGGAGAGATGTAATAATCTTGTTCATTCATGGTTAATTCACTTTGTTTCAACATCAATTGCACAAAGCACAGTGTACATTGATCTGGCATCTGAGGTGTAGAAAGATCTCAAAGAACGATTTGCACAAGGAGACATCATCAAATTTTCAAAATTGCAATAAGAAATTTTCACTCTAAAGCAAGGAAATTCAAATGTTACTTATGTCTTTACACAATTGAAGACTCTTTGGGAAGAACTAGAAAACTCTAGACCTATGCCTCTCTGCACATGCACTGTGAAGTGTTCTTGTTTGGCTATACAGAATGCTAAGCTCTACAAAGAACAAGACAAGGTAATTTGGTTTCTTTCTAGACTAAATAATGATTATTCATCCATCAGATCTCAAATCTTGATCATTAACTCCCTACCTTCATAGAACAAAGCTTTTTCAATTATACTGCAACTCTGTTAATACTAGATATTAAAATGTTGGAGATTAAATTTTTTTTCTTTTCATCTAATTGATTTTTTACAATATGTATATTTAGTTTAATATTAAATTAAATTTCAATTATTTAGGTTAGACCGGGTTAGGCTTTAAAAAGGTTAAGTTGTAGGCCCCTTTCGGATGGCCTGACCTATTTCTATCCTTAGGTGCGGTTGACAATGTAGATAAGTCATTCATAATGTACTATGATAATTTTATAAGTTGTTAATAATGTAATGTGATAATTTTATAGTTATCTTTTTCTTCAAGAATGATAAGTTAGAAAATGATAAATACTCATATGGAGCAAATGTCACACACAAATACATAACCCGACTTTAAAATTTATTAAATTTATAAGTTTAAAGAAAACAATACCTATTATAATTAATAACAAATGTTTTATTATATTAAATCAAACTTAAGTAAAATACTTAATTTAAGCTTTTAAAAAGTCTAGTTAATTAAATAGGTCAGAGTTGAGCTTGAGAAAAAGCCTATTAGACTTATTAGAATAGCCTATTTAAAATTTATAATAATATATTACACAATTTTATATATAAATTATAATATAATAATATATTAAATCAATTAAATTTTAAAATAATAAAATCTTAAATTAAAAACCCTAAATTTTTTTGTTAGAGTTGAAGAAGATCTCTACTATATACCCTCTAAGAGAGATAGCCTTACCTATTGGAGTCTTTTTTATATCTTATACGCATAACACTAATTTACACTGCGATGTTTTGATCATGTCTATGTTGTTTGAAAGCGATAAATAGGAATATGTAATTTTATTATATATATTCAAAGTGTTGAATCATTTTATTTAATAGTTTATTTAGATATAAGCCTTATGACTTTTAGAAAGACATATCTATTTAGATAGTTTAATAACTTAGTTTTTAAAAAGGTCAGGCTAAGCTTAATAAAAAGCCTATGACAGATAATAGGACAAGCTCAGACTTAAAAATTATTAAACAGGTCAGGCCTATTTATATAAAATCTAGTTTAGTCTAGTCTATTTCCATCCCTAACTATATCAAGCCCTAAGAGAAAAGCTTCTAACCACAAAGTGTGAACAATGGTCTTAAAGCATGTCACAAATTCTACCTCTATGGTAGATGTAGTAATAATAAACTTCTTCCATTCTTTCATAAAATTACACCTTTAACTAATAAGACGATGTAGTCTTCCTCGAGTCTACACACTCAACATAGTCTAAATTTGAATAACCAACTACTTTAGTGATCAATTTTTTTATAAATAAATATGTAATCTTTGATGCCTTATAAATACCTAAGAACTTTCTTTAACCTTTCAATATCTATTTTATAATTACTTTAATATTAGTCTAATTTGTCTAAACTCCCTATGAATATTTAATTTGAACATATCTCAAAATGTTATATAAAATAAACATATAATTTATATTAATCAAAGTTACGTCTCTTTTAAAATTTACAAGTAAAGTTTAAATTTTTTTTACTATTTTTTATATTATTTTCTAGAATCAATCCAGAAAATAACAACGTAAAAAAAAAAATCCAAATTTATTTTTTGTATTTTAATTTTTATTTAAATAAAAATACAATTAAATGTCTAATTTCTGCATTAACTAGATATGTCTATCCTTTCATTTCTACTGTAAAGAGTTATTATTCATCGTAGAACTTAAAATATGTGCAAAAAACTATCGGTCGATAAGACAGTGTTTTGTTTCTAGTCATCGTAATTGATTGGTTGACGCAAGTTGCTTTAAGTTCATAAAAAAAGTGTATATTGGTTGTTTGGTACAAATCATGAAATAATGACATAAAATAATTTATTTAAAACCATTGGAGTAAAATTAATTCCATCATATTACTTTTAAATCATTCTTTAAAAAATAATATAACAATATTTACAGTAAAAAAATGTTATAATATCAGTTATGCAACATTCTCACTCTCTGTTTACCTATGTAATTTGAGATATTTTAATTTCCAATGGTAATTTCAAGGAAAAAAAAGTTTCTTTTTCTTATTCGGAAATTATTCCCTTTTGGTCCTTGAATCGACTAGTAATGATTGACGTGACCGCACCACTTTTTGGTGTTAACATGATAACATCCACTAAGTATAGTTTGAATCTTCTACACTTGTGTTAAAATTAAAATATGAGATTGACTGCCTCTGAAAAAACTTGATTATTTCCATTAATTTAATTTGTATAATATGTTGTTATTTAGAATTCATGTATTATTTTTTCCGTCTAAAGTTAATTTATTTAATTTTAGAAAATGTTAATACAGAACTTGTACCTCTATACAAATAATTGTGTTGAAAATTCATAATAGTACATTAATGTTAAAAGTTTATATTATATTCATATTTTTTATATTTATCACAAGTTTGTACTATATTTATGTGTTTTCAATTAATATTTTATATTATTTTATAAAAACTATGGAAATATTTTTTATCGATACATTTTGATTAATTGAATTGTCAGTAGTAAAAATGATAGCAATTCATAGTAATTTATAGAGACAACTGCATACGAGTTTGAGTAGGCTATTGCAGTACTTGTCTTGTCTTTTAAATAAGTGAAACAATTATATCATATGATAGCAAGGGATTGGAGTTTTTAAGTTTAAGATAAGAATAAATTGTTAGAGTTCAATTTGTAAATTGTGACTATAAAATTATATTTTTTTTAAATTAAATATATAAAACTATGTTTAATTATTAAGTAATAAAACACGCATATTTGCACTTATTCTTACGTTGCATTACCTAATAATAAGTTTTGAATACTTACTCTACTACGGGCCCAGCACAAGGGGATAGCAGCTAAAGTACTTCCTTCAAATCTTAAAAAAACTATTTTTGTTGGTTAATAATATTTTTTTACAAAAAAAATTATTATTTGATAAATAATACTAATTTATTAAAAAATAAATACCTTTAAAAAAATGTCTTTCATTTTATTATTTGACTCTTCTAAGATGAAAATTCAAAATTAAAAATTTAAAGCAGTAATTAAATACATGCACATGTATAATAAATTACGAATTACATAAATTTTAACTATAATTTTTTTTTCCGATACTTTTACACTTTATTTTTTAAAATGACACTTTAGGAAATATATAATATTTTATTTGTTAACCTTTTAAAACAAAGTTTATAAGATTATAATAAAAAGTTATTTGGTCAGAGTTACGTACTTTTTTTTACTTGTTATAATTAATTGACTAAAATAGTGAATTTTTGCATCGAGCTTTTTTTCTTTTTTTACTTTTTGTTATCATTTGTTGGTATTGTGTATTACTTTTTTGGTAATTCAGAATCTAATTTTATATTTATAATTATCTGAAAACCTAAAAAAATAATAAAAATATTAATTATTTATCATAGTATATACTTAAATTAACAAGTATTAAAAAAATTTGATGTTTGGTGAACTGAAAAGATTTAACAATAAAATTATTAATAAAAAATGTTAAATTATGATTAATTAATCATTATATATTATTATTCTTTTTTAAAAGATAAGTTAATAAGTGTCCCTCGAATTATGCCAAAATCATTTCCCTTCTCTTGTACAAGGCCGGCATTGTCAATGATCGATCAATAACCTGTAACTTGGAATATTTAAAATTCTTGTTTTATTTACGTTGGATTTAAAATATTATAAAGAAAAATGTTATTTGTATAATATATTTGTACAATTATGTTTAGAAATTAAAATAAAAAATATTATAACTGAAATATAAATAAAAAGAAAGGCGATAGCATTGAGTGAACTTGATGTACGACGAAACACGGAAAACTGAGTGAAAAGTGTTGGTTGTGTGCACATCAACGTGTTCATTTATGAACCAAAGCTCTATGGCCCCATCGTTGCTTCAAAGGCAATGGTTTAGGATGAGAGGTTGTAAGAAAGAGAGAACCCAACACAAAACACAGATAGAGAATTATTGCAAAGAGAAATGTCACTTTCAAAATTCGTAGAGAGTAAACCAAACAGCAACAGTCTTCAGCAGTTGATGATGGAGGAAGGAGAAGCTGTGGGAGAAGCCTCTTCTTCAGGGAATAGGCTCAGCAACCATCCAAACTCTTTCCCTCCTTTATCTCCACGCCAGAGAACCAAACCCTCTGGTAGGTCACACCATTAATCTTCGTTTTCAACATATTTTCAGTGTAAGAGTTTTTCTGTTCCAAAATTTATTATCTAATCTAAACTTGCATCTCAAATGCATTCTATTATTAGCATAGACTTTCTTAATAAACAAAATTGTTAGTAAAAACTTTAAAGGCATGCATGTATTAACATTAAGTATTGATAATATACGTACGAGGAAAAAAAGTGTATTTTGGTATCTGAGAATTGATATTATGAATGATGTTAATTAGTGATCTGATTAAAAATGCAGAAGATAGCGATGAAGATGTGTTGAGAGTTCCAGATTGTGGAGCGACAAATCCAAGTAGCAGTAATAACGTTAATCAAAGTAATGTGAGGAATAGAGAGGTTCAAGCTGGAAAGCGCCACCGCGGAAGAAACTCTGTAGACAAGGAGCATCGACGCCTCAAGAGGTACGTACACAAATACGTATCTACACTCCTAAGATCTACTTTATTTACCATATGGTCCCCGTTAGAAAATAATATTTTAGGTATATTGTGGTATTTATACTAATGGAATACAGAAAATTTATTTTCCTTCCTAGGTTGAAATACTTCTTTGACTGGTATATTATATTGAAATGAAGATAGGAAAAAAAAAATCAAAGAGAAAAATATTTTTTTAATTTAAAAATAATTTTTATTTTTCCTTTCCTCTCAGATTATTCATCCTATCGGTACAAAGCATAGAAGTGACATTGGGTGACCACCACAAAATCGTACAATAAATTTGACATTAAATATTAAAATTGGACATTTATATTTATATTATTATTATCATCATTTATATCAAATTTTATATAATTTATATATTTTTAAATATGTTATTCAAATAAGATAATTGATGAAATACTTATTAATTTTATTTTTTATAAAATTAATATATTTGATAAGAAATTTTGATTTAATAATTAGATGAATAAATCTAACATTTTATGAAACACATTTATGTAATATAAGTATACAAATTTAACATCTAGTATTAATAAATTTTAACTCAAGAAAAAATACCATTGCACATTTTCAAATTGTAAAAAAAATTAGTATTTCCTCATTATGTTTTAACATTATCTTTTCATTTTCTCTTTTACAAATATATATTGGGATAAAATTTTGTGGTGTTGGTTTTAAGGTTAAAAAAAATATTTTTTCAAATATTTGCTTAAAAATTATTACTAAAAATATTATTTTTGAAAATTTTGAGAAGTGCATTTTAATTTTAACATTCTTAGATTTTTTTAAAATGTAAATTATAATTTTTAAAATTAAGTTTAAGCAACTAATAATAAAATTTTATTAAAAATATTTATCACACTTTTATAACTTTTAATATAATGAAGATTTTTTTAATTAAAATATAATGCATTTAGATGTGTAAAATTAACCATAAAGATTCAAATTAATAAAGTCTTTTTTTTTTTCTTAAACTCAATACTAAATACTGTAATATTTTTAAAAATTATACTATTAAGTATCAATAATAATAATTTAAAAAAAAAGACTATAAAAAATATCATAATATTGCAAAGAGAAAAAATTTCATTCGTAGCATATTTCATTCTATTAATTAAATGCAAAATGAGAATGGTAAAAACAAGGAAAAGTATAAACTGTAAACACTTAAAACAAGTACAAATTAATTTTTTAAACACGAATAAACTTTATGCAAAATGGAAGGAATTTATTTCATGTTCTTTTTATTTGTTTCCAAAAAGTTTTCAATCAAACTAATCCTACATATTTATTTTTATCTTCTAATTCATTGTCATGCATGTAATTTTTATTCATGTCCTTTCGTATACTAATTGAATCAAATTTTGTATGAAAACGGAAGTTAATTGCTTGAGTTGAATATGTGTCTATCATGGTTTTAATTTATTTCATTGGTTTCAGTGATTTGAAAAACTTAAAATATGCTCAACTTTTATATTATAAATAAAACTACTTTATTTAGAGAGTTACTTTCTTTTAAAGCTTGACACGTACACTTTTTAAAATTAAAATTATCTAAAAATAATGTATGAACTACACTTTTATTATTGTAATATTTTTTTATTCTAAATTTTAGAGATAAAAGTTATTACTTAACTTTCTTTTATTATCTTAATCAAACTTTTAGATTTGCTGTAAATTTTAATATTTATATTTGTGAAAAAAATTTATTACTTTATATAAACTTTCAAATTTTCTACAATATCTTTGTTTATATAAAAATTATTATATTTAATATATTATTTCTGTTATCTTAGACTCATTGTAATTTTATTAAATTTACATAATTTTATAAATTGTTAGAGTTAAGTTGAAAGAATTTTAAAATATTATAAATTTATATATTATATATTTTGTATATTACTAACTAATTATTTTAAAATTCTATCCTTAACAATAAGTAAAATTAGAAGTGAAAATCAATAATCAAAGTAGTTTACATAATAATACGTTTATTCTCCAAAAATTATATATATTTATACTCTTCTTCTCTCGTACTTTATTGACATTTCTGTCAAACAATGACTACTTTAAAATAAGATGTGGATATTATCAATATGTATTTCATATATACAGAGTAAAATTGTCAATTTAGGGTATCTTTTCTGGCCTGACTTGATAAAGTCATAAAGGCAGCAAAATAAAAAGCGAAAAGTGATTGAAGCTCTTAAAACGACAGTTCAAGCTCAATTTTATTTGGGTAACTAGTGTATGCAATGCTAGATTGCATAATTACTATTTATAATAACAACAACACTAATAGTCGGTAATGGACTAGTAGTTCGCATCAAGCTCACTTTTTACGTAAGCTTACTCGAAACAGAATAAAAAATGTCTTAATTTTATTTGGAACTTAAATTTAATGACCTAAACTTGACATATTGATGAGTATATTTAGGTCAGCCCATTTTATAAATTTAATTTCAAGATACACTCTGTTGATATATATTATTTATCAAATATTTTTTAAAAATAGAAGATGAATGAAATTGTGATAAAAATAGTTGTTATCTTAATGTATTTTAAAATTTATAACATTATAATATTTTAATATATTCAAATTAACATTAAATATTATAAAATATTATCCGATAAAAGCGTTTATATGCGAATAAATCGGAATTAAGAGCAGGAAGACGATAACATTAGAAAGCAATTAATGTATGAGTTTTGATATTACAAACAGGTTGTTAAGGAACAGGGTTTCTGCTCAACAAGCCCGTGAAAGAAAAAAGGTGTACGTGAATGACTTGGAATCAAGAGCGAAAGAGTTGGAAGACAAAAATTCCAACTTAGAAGAGCGTATTTCGACTTTGATAAACGAAAACACGATGCTCCGCAAAGTAACCTGCGTCAAACAAATTCACTTTAATCTGCAACTAATAATTAACGTTGTTTATCTCTTACAATATAATCACTTACTGGCAGGTTCTTATGAACATGAGGCCTAAAGTTGACGAGAGCATTGAAGCGTAGATATATATATATAGTTTCAAAGAGTGAAGGTTATTCCTCAGAGCAGGTTCAGGAGATTCATATTTTAGAGGCAGCAAATGTTAATCTACTTTCCCCCTCTATTCATGTGTGTTCTATGTTCCTGTAGTCCCAATATAAGATGTTACCAACTATATAATTACGACTAAGAGAGAGGGCTGGATTCATTAGATAGGTGTAGTTCTTGATATAGGTTACATGAACGGACTAGGTTACACTCTCAGTTATTTTGCTTCCTCTATTCCTTATAGGCACCATGAGGATGAAGTTGCCTACCAAGTTTTAGAAACTATGCAGATGCATTAGTTATTGAAAAGAGTAACCCTAAACTATTAATTTGGTCTTTATATTATTTTTAAAATTTATCAAAATAGTTTTTAAATTAAGTACAATATTATTTAGTCTTTAACATATATAATTTTTATTCGTTTTAATCCTTATAATTTCAATAATTTATTAAAATAGTCTATAATTAATAGTTTTAGTCTTTTAATGCATACATTTATCAATTATTTTAATCTCATGTCATCGATTAAACATTAGTTGTTCAAGAGAATAAACTGACTTAACAAGTTAAGTGTTAGTTAATTATGTCATGTGTTATTTAATAAAAATATAATAGAGTGATATGTCTTGAAGTTTTTTCTTTTTAAATCTATTACTTTAGTTTATAAACAATCTCTAAACTTAAAATTCTATGAAGACTAAATTAACTTATTAAATATTTTTTTTATATCATATGTTTATATTATATTTAACATATCAAGTCATCATATTCATTAGAATAACTAATATTTAAATAACGATAAAGATAAATAATGAACAATTATATATGTTTGAGAATTAAAATGATTGATTATTGTATACATTAAAAATTAAAATGAAAATTTGTGTTCAAATTATATTCTATTTTGATACAGTTTTGAAATTATAGAAATTAAAATATCAACCATTGCATAAGTTGGGAATTAAATAATATTTTACTTAGTTTAAGAACTATTTTAATAATTCTTAAAAACATTAGATATCAAATTGATATTTTACTCTTATTGAAAAACATTACAATTTTAAGAGTTTGTGTATACATGTCAAAGGATAAAAACAAATATGTTCTAAATGAAATTAAGTTGTATCAAAATGTAAATTTTATTCTTCTTTGGACCCTTTGATCACCTTCTTTTAGTAGATGTTCACGTGTGTTCCCGAAAATATAGTATTTCTGAAGCACCTTATGTTTATGCGCAAAGATAAACAGAAAGCTTACTCCTAAGTTTCCTTTGCGCTTTTGTTGTTTCTCTCCACCTCTCTCGTTCCCCAACCCACAATGAACCCTTCTCAACTCCACCATTTCTACTTACCTCCCCTTTTTCCTTGCATTTCTTTCCCTCCTATGTTTCAAGTGGTTCTTATCTTTGTTCCTAACTGTGTTCCCTTGCACCAAAAACTTTACCTTGTTAATGTCTAATGGCATGCCTTGTTGAGTGTAACTGAAGCATCGATAGAGTCAGTTAGGTTGAAAAGAAGAACCAAAAATAAATGAGGAAAAAACATCAAATATTAACTTAGAGGTTAATGGTTTGATTTTTGGAACAAGATTGCCCATAATGGAACTTTGGAGTTGTTTGTTTGTTTTTCTTTTTATTTTTCTGTTTAGCCATTTTTTGGGTCAACATGTTATATTCTGTAATAATTTTATCTTATAGCATTGCAAAATAACTCTATAATGGATTGATTTTTTCTTGTAAGCATATATCATGTTTGTAAGTTTTAAATAGCAAAAATTTAGTCTAATTTATGTAATATAAAAATATATGATATATATATATATATATATATATATATATTACAAAAGAAAACATTTCCGAAACTTGCTATTTATTTTTAAAAAAAAATCAAATGTTTTGTATCTTTAAATGGTGAATTCTACTAGACTATTAATTTTTATATATACCAGATCAATGTTGTTTTGTTTAATTAAAAATTAGGATAAAATTTTATCTTTTTGAAAACAAAATATTGATAGTCATAGGACATGCAATTAAGAAAGTTTACCGTTGAAACTCCGTCATATATTTCTTCCCTTGTTTACCATACGCGTGTTATGACACAAAAGCATAACTAATGTGACAAGAACAAAGAGAAATTGCACATATAGATATGCAAATGTTGCTAAGACAGAAAAGGAAAAAATTGCTCATGAAGAAGTAAATCAATGCCTTTCCTCAATAAGGGGTATATATGATTACTCTCAACCAAGATTTTATAAAAATAAAGATAATTTCTAGTGATAGATACATATAATGACTTTAATATTCACTTGTAAAAAATAGTGTTTAAATTTTAATTATTTATTTAAATAATTTAAATTTAAAATTTGAACTTTTTTAAAAAAATTAAAAAAAATCAACCTTAGTTTGTTTAGCTTATCTATAGCTGGAATTTTTTTTTATTTACCATTGAGGTATGTTTTATTGTTATTAATGAGATCTTTTATTATATGCTCCTGAACAATCAATCGACAACCCTTTTTTAATTAAGTATTTAATAAACATTTTCATATTAGAGGACGAGATAGAAATAAGAAGAGAAAAATAAAAGAATATTTTTAAACATAAAAATGATGTAACAATTTCTTTAATATAAAATCACAACTAAGTATATCATGTTTGTTATATGCAGATACAGATTATTCATGAGCTTTAAAATATCATGTATTTACATAATTAAATTTCAAATAAAATTTAAACTTATTTATTTATTAAATTAGAAGCTTATGAAATATGTAACAAGTTATTATAAAATAATTATGAATACTGAGTTGATTAACAACCGACACTTGTAACAGAACAATAAGGTGTAACCTGCAACTTGGCGTTTACCCGTTTCCTTAATTAGTAAGTATGAACGGTTGTAAAAGGGTGAAGTTTCTCTGTTAGTTAACCGATAACCAATCCCTTTCCTAAGTCAATTTGTATTTATTTCTACAAATCAAAGAACTAAATGGTTTTAAAATTATGCTGAATACCCCAAAAGGTGTGTTTTTATTTAATATTTTTGTGTCATATGTTAGATTACATCGTACAAATTAAAAAAAAGTATGTCATTGGAACGATTAGGATATGTTGGAGAATTGGATTTTTGGAGAAATAGGAAGTGGAGTTTATATAATTTTATAAAAGTAAATCAAATGTTAATATAATAAGTTTATATTAATTTTTATTTTTAAAATTGTAAAATTAAAGAATATTAATTATAAATAAAAAGGTAAAAATATGCTCTCTTTTTTAATTTATTTTTTAAATAAAGCCTAAAATAATGGGGGCCGGGGAAATTAAAATTTAGTTTAATTAAAAAATTGTCCTAAATTAGTTGTTATTAAAGGTTTATATCGTCAAAGAAAAATGGATAAATTACCCTCTTACTCGTGAGATTTAATAAATTTCATATGATACTTCTCTATTTTTTATATTGCTTTAAACTCTTTGATTCATATAATTACTGAACAAAAATTAGGAGAAAAATGTTTAGTAAAATTTAATTAAATATTAAGTGATGTAAGTGTAATTTGTAAATAAGTTAACATGATAAGAAGATGTGCCCCTGGTTGATCAATTAGACAAGGCTTGAAAAAGGCAATAGATAAGTCACAATTCTATGAGAACCAAAGTTCAAATCATAGGGAATGAAATAATTTAGACGCAACAGAGAGAGAGAGAGTGAACACCAATTTGGTCGAATATATCTGTCTTTGTCTAATGAGTGTCATTTTGGGAACTGAAGTCAATGCCGTTAGAGCAATTTATCAAGTAACTTGTGCCTTGAGCATTACACTACAGTGTACACTAAGCATTGCAGAGCAGCAACCTTGTGAGAAAGATCCAACTATGAATTTGTTGTTAAAAGGTGTTGTGGGTTTGCTATATCTCATTTTCAACCACCTAATCATCCAATGCCACCAATGCTTATTCTACTATTTAAACTGCCTCGTGTTATTGTTCTCTCCATCCAAAAGATATCATAGTAAACTCTAGTGGCTGTTTCAAGTTCTTTAGAACAAAAAAAGAATGGAATCTGCTTATCTCTGCTCATTGAGGGCCATCCTCCTTCTTTTGTGTGCTCTCTGGATATTGCCAGAGTTAACACTCGCAAAGCATTCTAGAATTACCAGGCACTACAAGTTTAATGTATGTGTAATCCATTTCATTAACACAAAATCTAGAAGAAACAATGCGTTCAATTGAAGTAAAGTTTTTCTTTATTCCATCTCCTAGTGTTTATTATTTTTTGCACTTTTCCTTTCTACAGGTCCAAATGCAAAATGTCACAAGACTATGCCAAACAAAGAGCATTGTGACTGTCAATGGTCAATTTCCGGGGCCTAGAATCATAGCAAGAGAAGGCGACAGGCTAGTGATTAAAGTGACTAACAATGTTCCCTACAATGTTACTATCCACTGGTATTATACAAAAAACCACCTCATAATCAGTTAATTGTAATTTTTGAATGGTCATAATTGTTCAAAATTGTTTTCATCTCTTTAGGCATGGTGTTCGTCAATTAAGGAGTGGCTGGGCTGATGGACCTGCCTATGTGACACAGTGTCCAATTCAAACAGGCCAAACTTTTGTATACAACTTCACAGTCACTGGCCAAAGAGGGACATTATGGTGGCATGCCCATAGCTCATGGCTAAGAGCAACACTTTATGGTCCCATTGTCATTCTTCCCAAAAGACATGTGCCTTACCCATTCCCTCAACCCTTCAAAGAAGTCCCCATCTTATTTGGTAAGTTTATAGCTTTCAAACTCTCCTAAAATCCTTCTTTGTACTTGTTAGTTAAATTATTTTTGTACCACAAATTATAACTTGAGCTTTTCCATTGGCTCAAAATGGTAGGGGAATGGTGGAAAGCTGACACAGAAAGTGTTATCAACCAAGCAATGAAAACAGGATTGGCACCCAATCTCTCAGATGCTCACACCATCAATGGTCTTGCAGGATTTCTCCACAATTGCTCAGCCAAAGGTAAACAAAAGCAAGGTTACAAGAGGGGTAAAAATATGTTTACTTCCAATCCACTAAGTTAACAACTTTCTCATTCATGCAGATACCTTCAAACTCAAGGTCAAGGCAGGGAAAACTTATCTCCTGCGTCTGGTCAATGCGGCACTCAACGACGAGCTCTTCTTTAGCATTGCAAACCACTCTCTCACTGTGGTGGAAGCTGATGCAGTATATGTAAAGCCCTTCAAAACAAACATTGTATTAATCACACCTGGCCAAACCACCAATGTCCTTCTCAAGACAAAGTCCAAGGTCCCAAATACTACCTTTGTCATAGCTGCAAGGCCTTATGCTACAGGCCCTGCATCTTTTGACAACACCACTGCCACTGGGTTGCTTGAGTACAGCAAATCTTCAGTTTCAAACACTAAACCAAAGAACAAGAGGCTTCCTCTTCTTAGACCACTGCTTCCAAAGTTTAATGACACTGTCTTTGCTTTGAACTTCAACAAGAAGATCCGTAGCTTGGCCAATGTAAAATTCCCTGCAAAAGTTCCAAAAACTGTTGACAAACACTTCTTCTTCACAGTTGGATTAGGAATTAGCACCTGCTCAACAAACCAGGCATGCCAAGGACCCAATAATACAAGGGTGACAGCATCCATAAACAATGTGTCCTTTGTGATGCCGAACACTGCGTTACTCCAAGCCCATTTCTTCAACCAATCCAAAGGTGTATACACAACTGATTTCCCTGCTAACCCACCTTTCAAATTCAACTACACTGGCACTCCACCAAGCAATATCATGGTAACAAGTGGGACTAAGGTTGTGGTGTTGCCATTCAATACAAGTGTTGAGTTGCTCCTGCAGGACACCAGCATTATTGGTGCTGAGAGCCATCCACTTCACCTTCATGGCTTTAACTTCTTTGTTGTGGGTCAAGGCAATGGAAACTTCGACCCCAATAAGGACCCTTCCAAGTTCAATCTGGTTGACCCTGCTGAGAGGAACTCTATTGGTGTGCCATCTGGAGGGTGGGTGGCTTTGCGCTTCCTTGCAGATAATCCAGGTGCATAGAACAATAACAAGAGATTCTTAAATACATCTATTGAATGATAATTTTTTGTTTCTTACACCGTATCACTTTAATTTGTATCATATTTTAATTATGCTGATGACGGGTATCTTAAAAGTCTAAAAGTTTGTAAATTAATCAAGCCCATTTACACATTTTGTAACATTAATTTGCTGATCATACATGAGCAGGTGTTTGGTTCATGCACTGCCACCTTGAAGTGCATACGAGTTGGGGATTGAAAATGGCATGGATCGTCCAAGATGGAAAGCTGCACAATCAGAAGTTGCCACCTCCACCCTCTGACCTTCCCAAATGTTGAAAAAGAAACCACCATATTAATTTTCGTTATTCTTTCTAAGATGAATTTTGAACAGCTGTTCTATTTTTTATCTCATTTTTCTTTTATTTTTCCACATTTTTTTACTTCTTGGATTTTGAGGAGTTATAGGTAAATTGCTTGTAATGATTGTTCCAGCTCTTAAAGCTCACTTTCAAGAGTAAAATTATGGGAGTGGGAGTTTTGTGTAGGTTATAGGCAAGCAGTATTCAATTATCCATTTCAAATGTAAAAGGCCAACCGTTGAGCGGTGAAGTCTTCAGAACGGGCAAATGCCCCTTTCATGCGTTATAATTAAAATGCTTTCTTGAGTACTTTTAAATCCTAAATCCTAAATCCAATGGCGTAAATTGACTCATTAGAGGTATTTAAGATATGAAATTTCGTTAATTGTCACAGTGATTATACATTTTATTTCGATTTGACTTTCTACTGCCAACAGGTACGTGTTATAAATTGCGGATCCCATCATTGGATACTAGCTTTATATACCAAAATTAGCATGAATTGTTCAATCGTACGCAAGTAACTAAAGTTTACACTATACAAAATGACAAGGGGCCCCTACAGAGGATTGAAATTCTAACTCTTCGTACCCCAACTAAAAACTGTAGCTTCAAACATTTCCAGAAAATAAATATACAGCTGAAGTATGAATTAACAAATAAAAACAACAAAATGTATTAGATATTTCGTTTAGTTTCTTAACCTAAATTACATTTAAACTTAATCAATAGGATAAAACTTATTTAATCACTATACTAAAAGGTATATTTGTGTTTTCTTAAAACATTTTAAAAAAATACTATTTTTTTTCAAATGAACAAATAAGTTTTTATAAAAACTTAAAATTTTAAAAAATCGTTTTAACATTTTCAAGAAATTGAAAATAACATTAAGAAAACGATCACAAACATTTTTTTAATGAAAGAAACACTAGACATGGATAACTTTTATAATGTAAAATTAATTTTCTTGAAAATAATTTGTTTGCAAAATCAGGTTTTGTTGAAGTCATAATCATCTTGGAAAAACAATATTTCCCACCACCATAAGCCACCAACGGTTCACAAATCACACTTGCTAACTGTCAATTCTCCGACTTATCTTATTTTTGAAAATTTATTGAGAGAACATTTCACGAAGAAATACCTATTTTTTAATCAATTTATTAAGTTTTCAAAATAATAATAATAATAAACTTAATTATACTTTCAAAATTTTTATCATAATTAAAGTACAATTTTAATCACCCAATATTACCATAACTAATTATTATCTCATTTCAATTTCTATTTTATAGATCAGTCACAAAATTCATTCACACACACACGTGTATATATATATATATATAGAGAGAGAGAGAGAGAGAGAGACAGAGAGAGAGAGACAGAGAGGACAGTGAAATTGCGGGATGGAAGATGCAGAAACAGACCGTATGGAATAATATAGATTTGTTCATGGCACAAATATTTCACTATACAATTAAAAACATACCAGTTGGAATGTCATACATAGCAAACACTTTATTCCATTTCCAATGTATGTTGATAGAGATGCATAGCGTTAAAAGCAACACAACTCGACTATATAGTAGTTAGGATACACACATTTTCCCTTGTAACCTTGAAATGAGGAACAGTATCATCAGAACTCCCTTTCTGGGAACAGGACAGGAGCTACGAGAGACCATAGGTAGAGCAGAGCAGTTGCCCAGCAAGTGATAATCCGGACCCACACAGAAGGCCACCCCACGTCAACCAACTTTCCACTCTCTCCAACAGAGGTTGACCAACCTGTCAGAAGCATGGCGGAATACATGCTAGCAAGAGAGAAAATCAAGTGGAAGAAAGCATACGAATATGTAACTGGCTTTGATTTCTCTCTCTCTTCTTCCTCCTTTCCATCCAATGGAAGCAAAGGCTTACCTGCAGAATCACCAGAAATGGGAAGATTGTCAGTATTAGCACGTGGAAAATTTTGGTAAATTCATGCTAACCATATAACATCACAATTCATTCATTTCCTTCACGGCACCAAATTAAAAAATAAAACTCAGCTTCAAGGGCAATAAAAGCATTCTTAGATTTCAAAATCAATTTTGAAATGTTGGATTTTTAAGAATTTACCAGAACGGGGGGAACTTGGTGGGGAAAGGACTGCAGCAGAAGAGCCAGCACGTACAGCAGAATAAACAACAGATAGAACAGTTGTAAATAAACCCAAAGTAAGGGTGCCAGTGGAAACAGCTTTTGAGTGTTTGTGAAGACCATTGCACTCATAATCTCTTGGTTCACTAGCCAGTGCACTATAGCAGAGATAAGTGCAGTATAATGATATTACTGAAGCGGGTAAAATGCTTCCATTTACCTGTATATGAAAATAATTCAGAAACCTCATAGTTCCAACTAAAGTAATGAATCATAATCTACACATATGCTGTATAGAATAAAATCAATTCCTAACTTAATAAAATTCCAGCAATATATCCTTCAAGCTAAGCTTAGAAGATTTCAGTAGCGTCCCAAACTGACAGGAATAAATATTAAATATGCTTAGTATTGTCATCGCTAGCATGTTTATATTCCATAAGAAATATTGAACCAAGAGAATAAAGATACCAGATAAGAAACTAGATTTAAAAAACAGATTATATATGAACTTATACATGGTAACATTTTAATCATGTACTATATAGCTAAACAAATAGAAAATGCATCATTTACAACTTTCAAGCAATGAGTTGACAATTCAATATCATAGAAAAGACAAAATTGGCAAATTAGCATTCTACATATGAAAACTAGGAAATCAATTAATAGTGGGTAGCTACAATAAAAATCAGTAAATGAAACTTACTGCAGGATGCAAAGCAACTATGGCAAAAACAAATGCGAGAATCAGGGTCATAGTAATAAAGAAAACATTGATTCCACAGTCTTGTCCAGATGGAGTGAAGAAGTGAAAGAGAACTCCCGAGAATGCAAAGTTTGCCACATAACAAACAAGTGAAACAACAAATAGAGCAACATACCTGTACAAATAAACAGCAGGTAAATAGTGACATTCTCGTATAAACATATAATGTAATGTCAACTTATCAAGCAAAGGAAATGATATTACAAGAGTTAAATAATAAAGCAAAGCCTAAAACTGACCAGAATTGCTCATCAAACCCAACCCATTTGTCATTCCATCCATGAACAAAATCCAACAAGAGCACAACTTGAACAAGAAGAAACATACCCGAGCCAAACTTTGACATTGTTTCTGCAAATTAATATACTTCATTATCATACACAATGAAATAATTTACATATCAAATTCGTATGTGAGAAAAACATATATACTTCATATCTTTCAGCTATATCAGCTTAAACGCAAAGTAATTTTTCATATCTAGAAAATTACAGCATCCATAAGATATAAGTGCTTGTTATGGTACCCGTAAACTTGAGAGAATATTCTATACTTTCTTTAATTGACAACTGTGATTCCTCTAATATCTTAGATATTAAAGGATATTTATGACTTTTTCAAATAAACCACTAACCCCCACTTTTTATCATACATATTTAATATAAAATCAATGGTGGTAATTGTTCCACATGCGTGAGGGCACAGAATGCCCTCTTAATTTACAAGGTACCATAAAATTACCTAAGATATATCTTCTAACTTATAGATCCTCCCATGCCCACTAAAAACTGGATATCAAACTGTTCTTCATGTTAAAATTTCAAACAAATAGGGAATCACTACTCTTGACATTTAGAGAAAACAGCAGAATGATAAAATGATATTTAAAACAATAACTTAATCAAGAGAAGTAATCCAAATTCAAGCAATAGCTCAAACAAAAAAGGTATATCACTTTAAATAATCAAAGTGTTTTTACAGTAACCTTTTCATTCCAGCCCTAATTCCACATCCAATAATCTCAGGCCCAGCAAAAGTCCATAGAGTGACATTTGATTCAATTCATGAAGATTGCACACAAACTTCCAATTTTGATTCAATCTCAGGCAGTTCGTGAAGAAAGTTGCATAAGCAACAAGATATTTACCTTTTAATGGGATATGTTCAAATCAAACTACAATAGAAGAATGCACAAACAAGGAGACACTTAAGAAGTAACTTAAAAAAAATCCCATCAACAGATTTCAAATGACGAAAGCAATTGTCACCAGCCAGTTTTAAGTTGTTAACCAAACAACAAGCCTATCATTCTGAATCCAGTCATAAAATCTTGATTCAATTCAATTGGAAATCTATTATTTGGTCTGGACCAATCATCAAACTTCACCTTCAAGTGCTCCAACAGAAGTCTAGATGCATGAAGAAAACTTATTATTAAAAGATAGAGGCATCATGCAAGAACCTTGAAAAGAGGTCCATTTTCCATTCACAAATGGCAACATCCTAAGATCCCTCCCAATGCCCTTTATCGTAATATAAAGTTTCTTATAATGTAATATAGGCCCAAATATAAGAGTCGAGCAAGGTAGCAGTACAGTAAGCTTAACAAGCAACTATAAGGAATCAACTGAAATTACATTAGAAGAATTTCATACCATAAAAGCTGATGATGTCGTTCGGAAGGAAAAACATAAAGATTACAAGAAGGAACCAACAGACAATTTTCATCATCCAACCTCCATGGTGCAAATTATCCCGAGGATCCTTCTGGGTTTTCACACCAACCATTAGAATTGCCAGAATAGTGAAAAACAAAAAATTTCCCAAGCTAACCCGCAGAACTGCATCAGTTTCAAACCATTCTCGGCTAGGAGTATGTTTGAAGTGATTGATCCCTACAGCATTAGCAAAAGTCCATGGATAAATCAATATGTTTAAGACCTCAATAATTTTAGAAAGTGAAAAAATAAAACAAAACAGGTATACAGCATTAAAATAAATGAAGAATTGTACACGGAATTGGCGATTCATATAAACAATCAAATCGCGATTATAATATATATATATATATATAATTAAAAAAATAGGGGGGGGGGGTTTAGAAGAGAAGGCTTACAGGGAATAGATTCCATGAGAGGAGCAGCAACCTCGCGGAGAATCCAAGCGACGACGAGGGAGAAGGCGAAGAGGCCACAGTAAGCGATTCTGGCAGAACGACGGCTGATTCCCGAAACGACGGTCCTGCAAGCGTCGCATGCGCACGACGCGCAGCATGACGCTAGGCACGTAGCTGCCCACATCGATCTTCTTCTTCTTCTTCTTCTTCGGTGATCAAATTAGGGTTTTAAGAGATTGGATTGGTTAGGGATATTGAACAGAGAATTAGGGTCGAATTGGAATCCAATTTGGTTAGGGCGCAGACGAAAACGACCAGAACATGAATATATGGTGTCGTGGGAGCAGACTTGGGATTCTCCCTTACTCCACTTATTATACCGCGCCGTTGAAATTGCTCCTTAAGCCACTTCTTTTATAGTCGCGTCACCTTTCTTATTTTTTTACTTTTTCAAATTTAATTTTTACAATATATTAAACAAAATTTAAAAACTTGATTTTAGAAGTTATTTGTATATTAATTTTGAGTAATTAAATTGCAACATATAATATTATTGAATTAAATTTACGTAATGATTTAACTTTACTGATTAAAAAAATATTTGATATGAATTTAAAGCTTATTAAAATAAATTATTTTAATACAAGAAAAGAAACAAAAAATACTATTTTGATTTGCATTTGTTTTTTGATAATTCAAAATAATTTTTAAACTAAATAAAATAATATCTATTGTAACTTAAACAATAATTAACTTCATATGTTAAATAATAGTTGGATATATAACATATGACATTTTATGATGATGTAATTATGTGACATATTTCCGCTCATAATTTTCTTTTTAAATCAGTCAATTTGGTTCTAACTTAGAATACAAAAATTTAATCTCCAAAAGAATTTTAATTAGTAAATTTAGTTTTCAAAGCATCTCTAATTAATTAATTTAATCTTTACTTATTAGAATGAATATTAATGTTGTTGTGATCACTAACAACTTATTTATGAATGATAAAATTTTTCATACCTATAAATAAATATCTATCGATAAAAAATGTCGTGGGTAAAAATATTTGCACTCATGAATACTTTGAGTTTAATTAAATATAATTTCTTCTACATGCTTATTAATGGGGCGAATATGAATATTAAAATATTTGTATTCATAAAATTATTAAAATATTATTATACATATTCAAGTAAATATGTTTCTAACATTATTATTTTATGATAATTTTGATGTGCGTTTAATTTAATATTTGTTATTGTAATAAAGTATACTATTTTTATAATTTAAGTGCTTTATTTTTTAATTATAATTTTATATATAAATTAATTTAAATTAGGTTATTTTTTAGTCTTTTTCTATATATGTTTTATTAAATATCTATAAATATCCAGGAATACTCACAAGTAATAATAATATTTTTAATGGGTACTCGCAAGTATGAGTTATTGTAATAAATAGTATACTATCTATGTTTACCTTATTTTGTTCCATCTTTATGTTAACCCTTTCACTTACCCCATTTAACCACTACGCTTTTGCCACATCGCCACAAATCTACCTCGTAATTATCACATCAAAACTTGCGACCTCTATACACACAACCATCTACCTCACTGCTAGACTTTACAGACCGACCCAATCAAGTTCAGCATAAGAAAAATGAAAAAAAAAAAATATTTAAAGTTGGGGGACTAGATTAATTACTTAATTAATTCATAATTTTTTAAAAACTAATTTAATTTAAAATTTTATTAATCTCAGTCTTTAGAACTGAAAATAAGTAGCTAATAATAGTAAAATTTTATTAAAAAAATATTTATTATTTTTATAATTTTAATATAATAACTACGTATTGAGACTAACAAAACTTTTTAATTTATTAGAAATTTTTTAGACTAATTGAATTGATTATAAATTATTAAAGGATCATTTTAACTGATTAAGGAAGAAAAAGAACAGAGAATTAATTATTTTTTTTACTTAGAAAAATTAGATTTATTGATTAATGATATTTTGAAGACCAATTTTGTTGATTAGACATTCTTTAAGAACTAAATTCACAAATTTTGAAAAAAAATATAGTCCTCGAATCAAATCATATTATCACATCATCATTAAATACTTTATATTACATCCAATTGACATTATATTACTTTATATACATGCAACAATGTATATCGTTTGACGTTTAAAGCAAAATGTTTTTCTTTATTTGGATAAGTAGATTGGCGTAGACATATTTTGAATTTATTTGACCCAATAGCCAACCCAAATAATTAAATGTCTAACATTCTAAGTTTTTTTTTTTAATGAAATGTTAAGAAACAATTAAAAGAAAATCATTTTTAAAAACTCGCATAATTAATAAAAAAAAAGTTCTTTTTCTTTTAAAAATAAAAACCCCAAACATGCAATTCATTACTTATCACGTGATTAACCAAACTAACTAAATTTATTTTGTTTAAATTGAATCGAGCTAATCAAATTCTAAGGTATATTACATAACTACCTATTTTGCCATATTTTATAAGCTACTTAACTAGCTAGTTTGTCTACAAATCTACGATGCTAACTTATCTGACATGCAACATATGTTATATCTGTATTACATTTACGTGTATATTTGAAGCAAGAGCTCCGATATAAATAGAGCAAATTAAAACCCATACATTCCAGAGTTGCATAAAATACAAAGATAAGATATAGACTGTTGCTGAAGAACTGAAATGATCTATATCTAAATTTGGTAAAGCCAGCACTAGTATCAATAGACATCCCACAACAAAGAATAAATTAGTAGCTACATAAAACAATCAGAAGGTGACCACAAACTTTTAAGTTTATTCTTTTCTCTCACTCTCTCAATGTTATATTTGTTATCGTATATGCTGGTGCTCAAGAACACTAATTCGTGCAACTGGTAGATATCATGTAGCTAAAGGCTATATATATATATATATTCCAGCTTCATATCAACTAACCTTGAAAGAATTGAAAGAGATAGCCAATTCAACCATAATTCTTTATTCAAATATTAGAAAAATTTTAATTTGCTCTTGCCCATGAAGCTCTTTGCACGCTCCAATTGGCATGAAGCTTTCCTAGCCCCAGTCAATCCTGAGCAGGTGTTAGTGGCCCCCAAAGTGACAGCAAAGTAAAGATAAATAGTACATAGGAAAGTAAGCAAAATGAGTGCTGTTAGAAGGAAACGATGTCTCCGAACAAGGGTCGACCAACTACCCAGTTCGTCTCTGGGAAATTGCCTTCTGAATGATGGAGACCTCCTATGGGGAGAAGACAAAATGGAATCAAGAACCATGGCTTTTACGCCAACCTTCCTCAGCTCAACTGAAAAAAGCATTGATTCCAGATTAGTAGAAGATAAGTGTTTAATTCAAATAAACTAGAATGGCTTGATTTACAAGAATTCAAAGGAGCTGAGTCCTGGTCTCTCTCCTATCTTCCATGTTCCAACCCCTAACCCTTTTCCGAAAAATAAAATGAAAATTAAAAGTATGCACATAAGCAGAACATATTCATGGAACTATAATCAAAATAACGCATGATACAAACACCAGTGGCTCAGTTACCTAGGATAGAAATCATGAAATATGCTCATATAAACAGGTTGAAGATCCCACAGACATATTCTATCTGTCTCAATCAATGAAATATATCTCGATCCATAATGCATTTTATATTCTATCTGTCGCAGATCAAAACTATATGCAATGCAAGGTAAAAACATCATGTCAGTAAATCGAGGGTTCTATTCTTATTTTCCAGTGATCACTAGAAGGGTAGCTTAATCTACTAAATAAAGCCCTTACTCACACCCTTACTCTTAGCTGTTCAATTTCATAACTGTGGAGAGAGTTTAAAATCTTGTTCACTTTCTTTTCTTTTCATGGAACACAAGTAGAAACTATCAATAGTAAGCATGAGATAGCATATATGTATTATGTAGTATAATACAGGAAGTTAAGAGATACCACAGTCACAACTCACAAGATCTAAATCCTATGGTTTCAGAAAAGAACCTTAAATTGAAAAAACAATTCTAAGTGGACCGCACTTTTAAATTTCCAATGATGATTATGATGATAAAATTGATACTGGAAATAAACTATAAAAGGCAAGCATCAACTTTATTGTTATAAACAGTCTGACCAATCTCTAAAGATCATTCAGTATTTCATTCAAGGACAAGACCATGATTAAATATCTCCATCTCAGGCCTTCTACACACATTCTTCTATGTATGGTAATGAGAATGTCAATTTTCTTTCATTTTTTATTAAAAACAACAAAAAATGAGTACTTCATGCTCTTTTGGGTAAGGGAGGAGTGAATATTTGAGAAGGCATTCATTTTACACTGTTTGGGAATCTAAAATGAATTACCATGTAGTAAACCAATTACCACAGCAAATTGATCCCATCAATGACATAAACAAACTGAAGAGACAATTACAAGACAAATTCACAAGTGGTTCTAACTACACTATTATCCTTATTAAAATATCAGCAAGGAAAACACATGTTAGGAGATCCAATATCTATCCCCCCAAAGTCCCGATCCTCATGTTCTCATTCCCCCCTCATTTCTATAAACAGCCTTAATCCCTGTAACCTTCAAAATACACTTTAAATAAAGAGGAAAGCAAAATAATTCAAACATAATTTTTTATTATTATTATTTTGCTATTCTACTCCAATTCTATGGTTACTCAGCATAACAAGACACTAGAATAAGATCATGAGTGAACAATTAGAATCATGGGTTTGATCAGTAATACAAACAATAAAATGCCACCAGCCAAGAACCAAGCTATTGTCATGTTAAAAATATGATAAGATGAAGTGTGGTAAAACCATTGGCCACTGATTTTGAATCAGGCTAATGGAAATACCAAGCAAGGATAGAAAAACGAGGTGTTGGCCTTTGTTATTGTAATAGTTAATCTTGTTATCAAATAAATCAAGTAATAGTCAGTTTAGATAGTCTCACTCTAGAAAGTTTGTTACTTAAGTTAGTTATTTCCGGTCAATACTCGTATATAAATATTCTCCACTCTGTACATCCAAAAATTTTTTTTTTCCTGCAATACAACACTTAGATTCATCAAAGGTTCTTCTTCAAAGAATGTTTCTACCATTTAATATGGTATTACAGCTCCACCACTGGGAGCTCTGCTATGCAGTTTTTTTTGTTTTTTTTTTTTAAAGTTCTTTTCTTAGAAAAGATATATTACTTCTTCAATTTGATCCTAATCTCTATTTCTTCTGCTGTAACAGAAATTCCTTTTTTTTGCTGTTTCTTGATCAAATTTTGACGTTGACAAATTCTGGAATGGATACATCGAGCCCTTATTACATACATGCTAATGAAAATCTAAGTGCAATTCTTGTTTCAGCTCCACTTATAGGAGGAAGTTACCATTCATGGTCAAGAGCTATGATGATGACTTTGAAATCAAAGAACGAAGACTAGTTTGTCAATGGAACTCTAAAAAAACCTCATTCTAGTGATCCCATATATGGAGCCTGAGATAGATGTAACACAATGGTACTAAACCTCATTCCATTATTCAGTGTGCTTTGGATCGAAACTGCACTGGAAGTTTGGAATGATCTGAAAGAAAGGTATTATCAAGGAGATATTCTGAATCTTTGAGTTACAAAAAGAATTATATTTGTATAAACAAGGCGATCTCTCAATTACTATGCATTTCACTCACTTGAAAACATTGTAGCAAGAACTTGAAAATTTCAGGCCCACACCAATTTGTAAGTGGCAGACACCTTGCACATGTGTTCTTGTGGCAACTATAAAAGGATATAGAGAAAATGGCTCCGTCATTAAATTCTTAAAGGGACTAAACGAAAGTTAATCTGCTGCAAGGTCTCAAATCATGCTGATGCAACCTCTTCCCACCATAAACAAAGTATTTTCATTATTAGTTCAGCAAGAAAGACAATTGGGGATACATATGGAAGAGCCAAAAATTTTGTACAATGCAATTGACACTAGTAAAGGAAGAGGAAGAAATTCTAGCGGACAATTTTCATACTCAAATGGGAGAGGCTATGGAAGTCAAGGACAAGGATACAAGAGTTGTTCATATTGCAAAATAAAAATAGGTCATACAATTGAAACATGTTACAAGAAACATAGCTTTCCTCCAAACTACAAAAGAAATGGTAATGTGAATTGCATAATGGTAGAAGAAGAGGAAGTTGAAGACAACAAAGTGTCAACACATCATAAAGAACAAGTCAAAATTACAATACAAACTTTACTCCTGAACAACATCAAGCTATCTTGGAAATGCTAAAAAAAGTCAGAAAACTCCCATTTCATTAATCAACTTGCTGCCATACCAAATAATCTCAACAAAACAGGTGCAATCTCTATCATTTCAAATAAATCTAATCAAGAGCAGAGGATAGTTGATTCAGGTGCAACTGATCATGTTTGTTATAATCTTTCTTTCTTTCAATCCTATAAAAGAATTAATCTCATTCTTGTAAAATTACCAAATAGTGCAAAAGTTAGCGCACAAATTGACCTAAATAATGTTCTTTATATTCCAAGTTTTAATTTTAACTTGATTTCTATGTCAAAACTAATCAATACCTTATCTTGTCAAGTTACTTTTTCTAAGACTGGTTGTTACTCGTTACATACAGGATCAAACTTTATTGAAGACGATTGGTGCAGCTAAAGGAACTGGAGAATTGTATGTAATGCATTCAATCACCAAATAATATGTTCAAATCACAATGTAAACCACATGAATTCCTCTGAACAGCATGTTTGGCATTATAGACTAGGACATACTTCTTTTGATAAACTTCATATTTTGAAGCAGTGTTTTCCTTAGATACAATGTAATAAAATGAATATGCCTTGTAACACTTGTCACTATGCTAAGCAGAAAAGGCTGCCTTTTCCAGATAGTTATACTAAGTCTTCTAATATTTTTTATCTATTGCACATGGATATATGGAGTTCATTTAGTTTACCATCAATATATGGCCATAAATATTTTTTTGACAGCGGTTGATGATAAATCTAGACATACATAGTTATTTCTTATGAAATAGAAATCAGAAACTAGAAATTTAGTGCAGTCCTTTATTGCTATGGTTGAAACTCAATTTTATGTGAAGGTAAAGTGCATTAGAACTGATAACGGTCCAGAGTTTAATCAAGAAGAATCCTATAACAGAAAAGGAATCATTTACCAAATGACATGTAGAAACACCCCAACAAAATGGGGTTATAGAGAGGAAACATCAACACATATTATCAGTTACTAGGACACTTATTTTCCAATCTAATATGCCTAAAACATTTTGGAATTTTGCTGTAAGGCATGCAGTTTGTTTGATTAATAGATTATCTACTCATTTTCTTAATAAATAGAAAACCTTATGAAATTTTATTTGGTGATCTACCAAATTTAACAAATCTAAAAGTGTTTGGTTGTTTAACAATCGTAGAAAGAAGCTGTATGTAAGAGCTCAAAAAGAAACAAGGCTGGTGTTATGTAACGCCTTGGAAGTTTTTTCAAGATTGACGATTATTCCCATAAATCAACACAAGACTTTTTAGTGAATTTTGACCTTACTCACACACTTTTGAGAAGTTCTCAAAAGATCACCCATTCCATAATTGCTCCAAGTCAAGCACGTCTAACCTTAAAGTTCTTAAGTAATAGACCACCAAAAAGTAAAAGTTTTTTTGTTGGTATAAGTATTACTAATCAATTCCTTTAAGTTATCCTTAACTATATAGTCTCATGCCTATTTCAATGTATATTCAATTCTTTTAAGCTTATTTGGAGTCACTCCCTGTTCATGCCTTATCTCTTTTTGTACCAACAATCACTCCCTGCCCCCATAAGTGCCTAAGACATCACATGCCCACCAGTTTCTACCCTCTTATTTCGGTGTATATTTAATTCATTCATGTGTTCTTCCTGTTGGAAACCTATTAGTAGTCACTTCTTGTCCATACCTCATCTCTTTGTGCACCGACAATCACTTTTCACTCGTCAGTGCCCGAAACGTCACATGTTAAGGGTTATATCCTTATGAACTTACAAACCAGAAATACGTATATTTCATGAGATGCATCATTTTATGAACACATATTTCCTTTACCTAAAACTTCCAAGAAAGCAGAACTAGAATCTAACATATGTAGAATTCTGCCTACAACTTGCAATGATCTTTATGAAGAACCACTTCAAAGAGAAGTTGAAGCAGAAATTAAAAATATTGAAGATGCATTTGTTGTTCAACCCGCATCAACACAAATCACCATAAATCAAAATGAATCTCAAGTCAAACGATCCAACAGACCAAGGAATCCTCCATCCTATTTAAAGGATTATCACTGCTCACTATCTATAACAAATGACAATGAACTTTTTCAAAGAAAGTCCAGCATCCTTTATCGACTACTTTGACATATAAACTGTTATCAAATTCTCACAAAATTATTATATAGCCTTGTCAATAATTACAAAACCAAAATCCCACAAGGAAGCCAAGATAAAAGAATGCTGGCAAAAAGCTAAACAAGCTGAGTTGGAAGCACTTTAAAAAACCAGAACATAGACATTAACATCTTTACCCCTTGGGAAGCAGACTATAGGGTCCAAGTGGGTGTTTAAAATTCAACACAAACCTAATAGATCGGTCAAAAGACACAAAACAAGACTTGTAGTGAAAGATTTTAGACAAACTAAAGGAATTGATTACATTGAAACATTCAACTTAGTTGCTAAAATGACAACAATAAGAACCCTTTTATCTCTTGCTGCAGCAAAAGAATGGCATCTACATAAGTTAGATGTGAACACAACATTTCAACACAATGATCAACATGAAGAACTATACATGGATCCTCCACCCGGACTCACTTCTAAACAAAAATTTGATATGAAAATTACAGAAATTATTATATGGATTAAAGCAAGTTAGCAGACAATGAAATGTGAAGCTCACTAGCAACGTGTTTTCATATGGCTATAAACAACCTCGAGTAGACTATTCTTTATCCACAAAGTCAACTATGACTAGTTTCACTGCAATTTTGATCCACCTAGATGATTTTGTGTTATTAGGAAATGACTTGAATGAAATAAACTTTGTCAAACAGGAACTTGACAAACATGAAGTATCAAAGACCTTGGTAAATTGAAATTTTTTTTTGGGGTTGGAAGTAACTACATCATCTGAAGGCATCAATCTATATCAAAGGAAAAACACGTTGGACTTACTTCAAGACACTAGACTCTTTTGGCTCCAAAACATGTAATCTCCTATGGATTCAACATTGAAACTTCACAAACATTTAGGTTCTCCATTTCCTGACATTTCATCATATAGAAGACTAATAGGGAGATTATTGTATCTAACACACACCAGACTACATATCTCTTATGTTGTAACTCATCTAAGTCAATTCTTAGATCCTCCAACTACAATTCATTATCAAGCTACTCTGTGAGTCTGTGTAATTTAAAATATCTGAAAGTTTATCCAGCAATTGGCCTTTCCTTTCTTGCTAAATTAGACCTTAAAGGATTCAGTGATTCTGACTGGGCATCTTGCCTAGACACAAGAAAATATGTTCCAGGTTATTGTTCTTTTATTGGAAACTCATTAATATCTTAGAAGAGTAAGAAACAAACCACTATATCAAGATCTTTATCAAAGGTTGAGCATTGAGCTCTTGCTTAAGCAACCTATGAAGTTCAATGGATCATCTATCTTCTACGAGATTTCCATATCACAATTGCAAACCCAGCAATTTGTATAGTGATAATTAATCAATCCTTCACATAGCAGCTAATCCAGTATTTCATGATAGGACAAAACACAGAGAACTGGACTGCCATATTGTTCATGACAAAGTGCAAGATGGAACCATTCACCTACTTCCCATTTCCCCAAAATCTCAAATTGCAGAAATCTTGACAAAACTGCTAGCTACTAGTCCTTTTAGACATCTTAAATCCAAGCTTGGAATGTTACACATCCACCTTCCAACTTGAGAGGGGGTGTTATTGTAATAGTTAATTGTGTTATCAAATAAATCAAGTAATAGTCTGTTAGTTTCTCACTTTAAAATAGTTTGTTACTTAGTTATTTCCCGTCAATAACTTGTATATAAATATTCTTTACTGTGTATATCAAAAAAACTTTTTTCTCTGCGGTACAACACTCAGATTCATCAAAGGTTCTTTTTTAAAGAATGTTGCTACCATTTTATAGCCTTAAATCACATTATCTAATAACCAGAAACACCACCAATTATTTTATAATATCATAACTATGACAATAAGTACACGTATGAAATTCTGGAAAGCTTAGAAGCTTTCAACTTATCAAAAGACATAACTTGCTACAACCCAGTTGGCATTCCTCAAAGAGAGACCAAAACAAATAAAACTGATAGAGCTAAATGTTTAACGACTCCTTACCAAAGTTCAAAACTTTGAGAAGCCAACAGCCGAAACAGACCAAATAACGGAGAATCCAACGACTATTGACATAATTTTCGAATATCAACCAAAAGAGAATAAAGGGTTTTGAGAGCTTGGGATTCCTCGGTAAACGGAATCCACCACCAACATTCGTTCCCAAAGTTGAACCCAAAAAGGACCAAATAATACAAAAATCTACCCGTTATTGGGAGCACTTCCCCGTGATTTCAGATAAAAGGGTTAACGACTAGCGGGTGTTTGCACAAGAACGTACCTACACTGTTTGAGGATTGATTCGAGACTTGGAGAGAGAGGGATTGTGATTTCGACGGAATTGGAAATGGAAAGTGAATGCTACAGAAACTATATACTAGGACTGGATCTAGGAGCCATTAAATTTCCTATACCGTTATAACATTTACTACAAAACCACGCCGTTTGTTGTTTTTGAAAAATCAATTATGAACGTTTCGAAAATGGGATTTGGTCATTCGGTAAAATATATTGATAGATGGGAGTTTGTGTTGGTGATTATTTTCACATTAATTTTTAAAGATTTTTTCTCAGTTGTTAATATACGATTTAGTACAAAATTTTAGACATATTTATTATTTTTCAGTTGTTGATACACTTTAGAAAAATCCTATATTAAATGTTAAGTTATAAAATTATAAGAATATTAAATTAAAAAAATTAAATTAACATAAAAATTGTATTATATCTTTTATAAAGTAAAAATTATAGTAATTTTTAGATAATAATAATAATTGGTATATAATTTTATGTGTGAATTTTTATTATTTAAAAATAATTTTAAATGAAAAATTAGAAAATAAAAAGACAATTTTTAAAGTAGGTTTAAATTTTTTATATATTTTTATCTAATTTTAATTCATTTATAATTTATTTGATTAATTTTTTAATCAATAATTTGTTTCAATAATCTCGTGTGATGTTGGAAATGATACTAAAACTCTAATCCATTTGATAGTTTAATTTTAAATTTGTAAATAAAGGCTTGTTTAATTATTTTTTTTAAACCACTATGAAAATCAATTTTTAAAATTTACTTTTGAAAAGAAATTAAAAGCTTTATGGTAATTCTATTTAATAAATTTGTTCTATAGTTGAGAAAAAAATTTATTTAATAAAATTGTTTTGAAAGTTTGTTTTAAAAGTTAAAGAAGAAAAACTTGTTAGATTATATTAATTTTTAGTTTAAATAAGTTTTTTTAACATCCTTATTTTTAATTAACATAATAATAGTATAAAATCAAAGAAAATTCTAAATAACAAAAATTTAAATTGGAAAAACTTAAATAATAAGATATTAGCCTTTAAAATTGGTTAAGAAAACTTTAAATAATATGGTCATATTTGTTTTCATAATGTACAGTAGATATCAGTACCTCCAAATATACATAAGAGTTATTAAAATACATTAAGACCATTCATTTATATTTACAAATACTCAAAATAGTACTGGTCCTGACTAAGTGGCACTGGTCTTCCCCATGCCAACCCTCTATCATCGCCAGGTTTTCAGAATTCAGCTCGTCATCTGAGCTAAGGTACAGATTACCCAGATCAGTGATGACCTGAGTACCCGTAATCTGCTCGATCGTTCATCGCGATGGTATTCTGGAATGGTCGTGATCATGGTACGTGACCAGATATGTTAATGTTGTTAGGGTTCTCTCAGTGCCAGAAAAGATATAAATACAAAGGGTATGATGAATTCGATGCACAAACAAATCAAAAGAGATGCTAAAAGCTAACTCCAACTCCATCATAACTACGTTACTAGGTACCTCACTATCATAAATAAGAATTTTAAAGTAACTAAGTCTCTGGTACTCATCAAATACATCATTTACATTATCTATTATTGAACTATCTACTACTCTCATTCTTTCTATGGGTACTGTCATCTGGATTTCCTGAAATGGTTACGTAAGGATGAGTCTCTACATTCATTACCAAGCATACATATACAGAAAATTCAATAATACAGATAAAACATTCAACATGCATCATATAACAATTCAGTTATGCATCCAAATTATGTTTATCTCTATTTATCCTTTTGATACTCATTTCCTTATTCAATTTCATTCTCAATTACACTGTCATTTCCACTGCCCCTGGGATTCCTCAAAGTCTTCCTTAGCATAGATAGTCGCTGGATAACCACAGCTACACGGATATAACGTGTGCCGAGTCAGCCCTTTTTAGCAAAAATGTAGTCATGAGTATGGGTTAGGAAACAAGTGCGAGGCCTATGGTGTTCCTACTCTCATTTGTATTACGCAATTTAAGAGGAATATCCACCACCCTCATTTTCCCTAGACTTCTCAGTCTTCTCTATCTTCCACATTCTCAATGTACTTCTGAATCATCTATACTTGCTCTTATCGTATACTTTCTGATTTCCTTTCTCTTTCTCTTTTTCTATCTCATATTTCTATATCTCTTCCTATTCCATTATTACACCATATGTTACTTTCTCATTGCCGAGGGTTATTCCCCTCGGACTCAGTACATCATACACATGCTCAAATTCAAATACTCATCTATCATGTCAAACATATTTCAAGAATCACAGAGCATGTTCTAAACATATCAATATCATGTTATCATTCAATATATACTCATTTCAAGCATTTTTACCCATACACATAACAATTCTTAGCAATGATATAGAGCTTCCTTTACCTTGAAATGAAGGTTTAGAAACAGGTTTTTGCTCAAAACATGAGATTCTTCCTAAATATCACAAGAGACCTCATTTAGAGAAGGAGAATCAAGAAAATAACTAGAGGAATGGAGAATCAAGCTTCAAAAACTTACCAAAGAGAAAAAGAAGTGATCCTTGAGACTTTAATCGAAGAAAAGTTGGAGTTTTTCAATGATTTGTTGAGAAAATGAGGAGAGAAGTCAAAGAGAACGTATGAGAGTCGTGACTTGGATTATAATCCAAGTTTCTTAACTTGAAAACTCTTAAATACCCCTCAACTCGCGACATTCTTGCTATAGCAAGTCAATTCTCGCTACAGCGAGACATTATCTCGCTACAGTAAAAAATCAGACAAAATTGCACTTTGCTGTCTATTATTCTAGCTACAGCGAGAGCTTCTCGTTACAGCGAGAGAGCACTAGAATGCCTGATTTTGATGCTGATTTCTCGCTACAGTGAGACACATCTCGCTACGATACACATCTCGCTACAACGAGACACATCTCGCTACAACAAAAAATCCTGCAACTCACCCATCTAAAACTCTTCTAATTTCAAGCAACATGCATTAATAACTCACATCAAGTATAAAATTAATAATTAATAAAGTAGGGATGTTACATTTTTCATCTTTATATTTAACTTAAATTTGTAAGTTAGTTAAATAAATTTTAATATATATATATATATATATATATATATATTTTAATGTAGTTTATATTATTACTTTTCAATTTCACTTTACAAAACTTCTTACATTTACATTAAATATCTTGTCAGCAATTTATGTAGGAAGAAAAAGTCTTCATGTACTATCCCATGATCTTCTCTTTATTGCAAATCTCTCCCTCCACAAACTCTTCTTCTCCTAACCTCCTTTTCAAAACCTCCAATTTTAACCTTGAATACGACCTTGCTTTCAATCAATCCTTCACTCCTTTTTCTCTTTCTTGTCCTCCTCACAATTCCTCTTCCTACTAGTCTCTTAAAAAGCTTGATTTCTCTTACTATTTTTGTTTGACATTTGCGAGGGCCTCACAAATAGTACTATTACACTTGAACTCACCTTCAAACGTAATTTGCCATATTATGTAACCCTTTCTAATTCTACTCTTAGCCTTTGTGTAAGTCAACTCATATCAAATGGAACTTGAGCAAGTGTTCTAAAACTTGTGCAATGTCATTTGGGAGGCCACCACATGGTGGGGTTGAAGTTAAATGTTGTTGAGTTGAAAAGTAAATTAAACCCAAAATAAATATACATATATTAACTTGTTAGAATCTTAATATTTACACATGTTCATCAATTTAGTTTTTATTATAAAAAAATAAAAACAAAAATTGAACAACATAATGATAATTTATCACGTTAAGTATCTTGTGTAAAGATACAAGACAATGTCATTTTAAGATTTGTAAGAAATAATTTATTTTTATTTTTGTCTTTTAAATTTTTTGAGTAGTAATATTTTTTTCCTTTTCATTGTTTCTTCTATTATCTTTTCTTGTAACATTCTTTTACTTTAGTCACCGTAACAATATTGTTTAAGAAAGGCAATAGGTCAACAACAATTTAGACAAATAACAATTACACTAATAATAGAGAGATAATTTGCATTGGTTAGAGGTAGAAAAAATGTTGAAAATAATAATAACTTATTTAAAAAAAATATAAGTTAAGGGATAAAATAAAAAAAAGTGAGAGAATTAATAAACTAATTTATTATTTTATCTTATAAAATTATTTTTTATTCAATTTAATTATCATATTGTATAAATAAATAGTGCACTATTTTAAACTCTCATTTTTTTATTAAATATTTTTTATTTATTAATAGTTTATTATTTTGAATAACTTTATCTTTTTAATTATAATTTCTTTTCTCTATTTTTTTATTTTCAACAAACTCATTTTAATTTTTACTACTTATTTTAAATTTAAAAATAGATAAAAATTTAAATAATATTAATAAATAAAAATTTGAAAAATAGAATAATTTAATAGTAATTATAAATAAAAAATAATCTAAATTAAATCAATATTTTGTAGTTCATTTAACTTAATTATTAAATTATATTTAAATTCAACCAAACATTAATTTATTAAATTTTTGCAATTGAGATGATTTTTTTGAATAAAATCCGAACCCAAGCCCCAATGGAGGAAATACACCCTAATAAATTCAAAACAAACGACCTGGTTTGTCGTCTCCTAATAGAGGAAATATAATATTGATTGGCCTATCATCGATTTCAAATTGCTTTCTCTTCACATTATTTCGCTTCTTTTCACCTCATTCTTCACCTTCATCACAAAACCACCTAAATCGCTTTTGCTCCACCACCTACAAAAACATAAAATCTTTAGCCAGACCCATTTCCAATCCTCAACTTTTACTGAAGGTAACTCCTTTTCTTGTTTAATTTTCGCTTTCTGCGACTTGTGACACCTTCTGGGTTTGTTTCGTGATTGGAATTAATTCACTGGTTGTGTGTGCCCTTTGTTACTTAACTGTTATATTCTCAGAAGAAAAAAGATCTTTTATAACTTATGATTTGTGTTTGGTAGTTTTAAAATCTGGTAAGGTTAAATAGCAGCCACCGGGTGTTTAATGAAATTTACAGGAATGTATCAGATGGTAGATAAATCAGGTCCTATGTGGCAAAGATGCTAATGCTACTTTCTTATTGGTTTTAATTCTTTGAACAGTCAGACACGTGGTAGTAGTTCACTGTTTTCATTCCCTGTTTTGCTTGCTATTTGCTAAGTATTGTATGGTTAAGTTGAGAACAATGGCGGAGCAAATATTTGTGGCTTTTAGGCTTTCTAGGGGAAATGTGTTGGTTTTTTAAACTTTGGTATGGATTAACCATTTTGTATCTTATTTTGCTTTGCTTGCAGAATTATTGTTAAAACTCCAATTATCTTGTTTAGAGACTTATTGTGGGTTGAAGTTGAAGATAATAAACTATGAATTTGATGTCAATAATTATACCACAATTTTTTGAAATCTTCTTAATGATGCTGTGTATTTCTCGTCTTAGTTATCAACATCTCAGAACCAAATTAAGTTTTACTAATTTGACAGTTATTTTGAAATGAGCCAAAAATAAATTGGAAATTATCTACACAAAATGTCCCCTTCCATAGTTTGAGCTAAAACAAATCTCTACCTGTCTTGATTATATGTTATTCATTTCCAGCTATCAAGAAAGGAGTTTCTTTGTATCCTCTTGCCCGTCCCCGTACACTCAGTCAAGAAAATAAGTGTGGTAGATGGAATTCACAAGCTCCAGAGTCAATGTTCCAGACTCTAGACAATCGTCAAAGCGGCTTCTGTTTGACCGCCGCTATGGATGGGTGTAATCTCTCTCTCTCCCCATATTTCCCTCTCTTGCATTTGTATAAATCTTGTTGCAAACTATACTTTACAAATGTTAAAACTATTATAGCAATTGATTTGTTGTCTGACAGAATTGATGAGTGGAAAGACCCGGCAGAGGTAGCATTGGATGGAGGCCGAGGAATGTAAGATGTTTCCCTTTTCTTTTGAATCTTTTTATTTGGTTCTTGCATGAACAAAATGTCTACCATATATTTTTTAAGAATTATGTTATCTACTGCTTATTAAAGGAGTGCCAAAAGTATGTCAAATTCATCTCTTGCATTTCTGCAGCATAAGAAAAGCAAAAGAACACTATTTTATATCTGCTAATTATTTTTTTCTTCTTGTCTGTCAAAAGGTTTTGCTTATTGCCCCTTGCCAAAGCTTTGGTGCAGAAGGCCTCACAGTCGGTATGATGACAATTTTATAGCGTTTACTTTCTTTAGTAAACTTGTTTTCTTGATTTTATCATCGCTATCAGTTTATTGCTTACAGTGTTAGCTGGCCCATTTTGATTTATACTTCTTATGCCTAGTTACAATATTTTCATCTTTGCTTTCTCATAGTAAGTTTATTAGGTAATGTCTTCGGTATTCTTAGTTAGTTCACAACAAGCATGACTTTAAAAATGTAAATAAATGTGCATGTATGATCAGGAGTCAAGGACCATGACCATCAAATAGAATGTTTTATTCACTGCGTAATAGCAGACAAAAACAATTACTGCCCATATATGTAAAAGCATAGTTATCAATAGCTGGTTATAGCAGAATAGCTGAGTGGAGCGGCCAGGGGCTGCTTCAAAGTTTGAATAGCAGAGTGTTTTTAAATAGCAACCATAGCAGCTGCCATTAATAATCAAGTGTATTCTAAATACAAGATTAATAAAACTCAACTCTAAGAGTTGAAATTAACATTTTCTTATTTTATATTTTTATTTTTTATCTTACATTCAAATAAATGAGTAAAGTGTCCATGTTAATATTTTCATTATAATTTTTATTGTATAACAATTTTTATAGAATATTTGAAAAAGACTTCTTTAGAAGAAAGAAAAGATGTACTATCTTTAGAATTTTTACTATCAATTTTAACTAGATATAAGTTTGTTTGAAGATATAAATTTTTAGTCTCTTGAAATTTCATAAATTTTTCATTTGTTACCTCTTTTTTTTTTTCTAAACAAGTTCGCAATTTTTTAATTTTTGGTTAGAATACACATTTAGTTTTTATAATTAACACTTCTTTACAAATTAATCCCTATAGTTAAAATTTATGTTTCAGCCCCTTCCATCTTACTCTGTCAACATGTTTTTAATGATAATGAATAATCTAAAAATGTTTGTTCATGTAGAGACTAATTTGTAAATTTTTTTTATGTAAGGACTAAATTGAAAAAATGTGTTAAGTATAGGAATTAAATATATAATTTAACCTTTTTCAAATTATTGTATGTTATTTTTATGTTTCTAAAAGTGTGGGAAAAAATCTCATGGAAAGGAGGAAAGGCAATATGATGAATACAGTGGGTGAAAATGCCTTACTGCATCTAAATTACTCCGTGAATATGTATTGCCTCAGTCATCTAATTATTATTATTATTGTATGGATGAAATTACCTACAATCCAGTGATATAGGAAGAGTTCCCCATCATTAAGCTTATGTCTTCCATATTTTTTATTGTAGATAAATCTGGTGGCAATCTCAGTCATCAAAGCTTCAGAAAAGCCACAGTTGTTTTCCAATCAGATGTTGCAGAGTGCTATAGATGACGGTGTTCAGAGTTTTATGACATCTTTGAAAAACGTGGGGAGTAAAGGTTTCATCCTCAACAAGAATTCTCAGTCACAAGTTTCCAATAGCTCTTCCCACTTACATATAGAAAGCAATGAATGATAAGGGCACGAAGTTATCTCTGTCCTCAAAAGTTAGTGTTCTATAACAACTATGCTAAAATGCTTTATGATAATTGTCATGATGTAGAATTGTTGGTGATTCAGGAGAAAAATATTCTAATACATGCATCCGATGCATTTTATCATCTATACCTCCTATTAACTCAATTCTATAATCATGCAATGTACATGGACCCTACTTGTGAAACATTCTGAATATTAAGGGATAGAAATTGATAGTCGTTTATAAAATAAAGAGAATTTTATATAACTCAGGTATTCATATATAAATGCAAAATATAAATTAATGACATGGGTTGGGGAGCCCATTTTGCAATTAGGGGAAGAGTGAGTAAAAGAAAACAGTCAAAACACATAAAAAAAATTGGATGAATCCTATTCCTACTATCACGAGGACGATCACTCAATAATCTTTGTTGCGTAAAAAAATGCATGTACTATGGCCATGAGTTCTCTCATACAAATTTCTTTTGGAACCTTTTCGATAGCTTTGTCTCCAAATGCAATCAGTTTCCCCTCTTTTGTGACAGCGTGGCCACTAATCTTTGGTACGGCCACTAAAATTAATGTATAAACTATAAATTTATAATGTATTATTTAAATTTTTTAGATTAATAATTTATATTTAATATTTTTTTTAAATTATAATTTGAGAAAAATGAAGAAAAAATTGTGAAAAAAAATAACAATGAAAAATTTAGAAGATTGAACTATTTTTATTATAATATTGTATAAATACTTTTAATATTATGTAGAGTCTGAAAAGTAAAATGTTATCAAATATTTAAGTCTTTTATAAAATAATTTTATTATTTTATTATATATATTTTTCTTATTTTATTATTATATATATTATGTATTAACTTTGTTATTAGACAAATTTTATATGTAATTCATAAATTTTATATTATATCAACATCTATAAATTTAATTGATATAAAGATTAATTTTTGTATTAAATACAACAATTCTTTTCTTTTAGTTTTTATTTAAATTTTAATTGAAAATTTTTAACTATTCTTTTTTTCTCTTCTATTATTTTAATTTTTTTTAAAAAATAATTTAATAGAAATTAATATATCAAAATTATGTATAACCTATTAACATAGATAATATTTTATATTATAATAATTATGATGATAAATTTAATTTTTTTAAATTGAAAAATTAACAATATTCATACTTAATGATTTTGTTGTAATGTTTTTTTTATAAAATGCTATAATGATGATGATAAATTTAAAACTCTTCAATTAAAACTAATTAATTATAATAATTATAATAATTAAAATAAATTAAAAATTATTAAATATCATAACAATTAAAATGAATATGATTTAACTATTCTATTTTTATATTTAATAATTTTATATTATAATAAATGAATAAGTAAAGAAAATATAACGTTTTAACTCTAAATTAAATTCAAATGTTATATTTAATTTCTATATATATCATTTATTTTAAAATTTTATGAGTACGAAATCTAAATCTTTACAACTATTAAAATATTTTAAATAAAAAAAATAGAAGTTAGTGTTTAAAATATTATAAAAATATTTTTATATTAACATATCAAATTATATTTATTTATTAGAATTTTAACTATATGATTATTTAAAATTTTTAGATTGAAATATAAATTCTAATACTTTTGAAAATTTTTATAATAACATTCAATTACAAATGCAAAGAAAAGTGTTTCTTAATGAAAAAATTTAGTCATTTTGTGAATTTACGAATAGTTTTCAAGATATAAATCAAAATTTAGATATTATATATGAAAATATGAAATTAGTACAAATATTTTTTTATTAATATAATTATTTATTATGTTATATTCTTAAAATTGTATATTTTTTAATTAAAAAATAAATCAAGTTCACTAAATATTAACCTCTTTTTATAGAATTAGATAATGTATGAGAGAAATAGACAAAAAAATATATCTGAAAATAAAAATTAAATATTTAATTTACAATATTTACGTCAAAATAGTTAGAATACATCTATTTTTTAATAGTGATATAATATTTTAATGTATTTATATTAGAGTTATATTTATATATTTTTAAAATAATTAGAGACCTAATAATAATATACTTTTTTTTTTACTTATTTTTAGTTCAATTTATATGTTTCCTTTTATGTAGCATTTTAAATTTTATTTAAATTAATATTTGTTCTTTTAATAAAATTTTTAAAATATTATTTTATTATTAAATTAGTTTATAGATATATTTATTTTTATTAATTCTTAATTAAAATGATAAATAATAAATAAATTGTATTAATTATTTTCAAAAAATAAAAAATAATTATATAAGAAAAATTAATAAATTTATTATTTTAATTTTATGATCCAAATAACATAATTTTATTATACTTAATTGGTTATTAAATAAAATTAATTTATTTATAATGTCAATCAATTTTAATTCTATTAAATTATCAAAAAATATAAAATAATTTAATTATTTAAAAAAACTCAATTATATATATTTTTTTTATCATAAAGTAAACTTCTAAATTCAGTATATATATTATATGATTATTAATTTTTATTTACAATATTTTTATATAGTAATTTTATTTATATATAAAAAGTTTAATATATTTTTATATTTAAATATTAACATATAATTTTGTGTATATTGATATGCAAAGCAAATTTTTAAAATTTCATACATTAGTTGAATAAATACTTTATTTTTTATATATTAGTCTGATAAATTATTTTTAAAAAATATGATATTATATTTTAATATTATATAGTAAAATTTTATTAATAATTTTAAATTATAATTATAAATAGATAATTTATCATATAAATTTAATTCAATAAATATAAACATATATATAAATAAAAAATTATAAGACCTTTTTTAAATTTTATAACGTATATTAACAAATTGATTATATTCAATAATTTATTGTTATAATTATTTATTTAAAATAATAATAATAAATAATCATGAAATAATATAAATTTTATTTTTATATTTTAAAAATAAGATATTTGTATGCTATTTTATTTTATGTTAAGAAATACTAAATTATACATATTTTAAATAATTTTAAAAATAATTTATTTTGACAAATAAATTGTTTTATTATATTTATATATTTTCTATATTTAAATTATATATTTTATATTTTAAAATAAATTAATTTAATAAAAAATAAACTCTGCAAAGTACAAGCATATTTTTTAATTAACGGATAAAATTAAGAGAGAAAAAGAGTTACATAATTATTGTCACTCTTAAAAAAAATATAAGAATAAAATTACTTAAATTTTAATTAAGAATATGTTGCAATATAATAATTGAATGGACTGTTAAAGAATGGAATACTAGAATTACTTGAATAAATAAATTAGTCATTTAGAAAGTTAAAAGATTGATTAATTATAAATTATATTAAATCGAGACTTAACATAAATTTGTCTAAAGGTCATAAAATTGTTAGGCACAGCTACATGAAAGCTATCCTTTTACGTGGAATGTATTAGTTAGAATTAGATTAATATTCAAAACTTGGATCTGAAATTTAATCTAATTCAATAAAAATTAATTGTTATAATTATTTTTTGTTAATTCATTTTTTATTTTATAATTTACGTTATTATTTAATTTTTGAGTCAGAAATTTACATTGTCATTTTTATTATCGTTATTCTAATAACTAGTTTTTTTCTTTCCTTGTTTGGAAAATGGAAATACATGAGTTTTTTTTTCATAAAGAAATATTTTTTGGTCAAAATGTAAAATTAGTTTGAAGTTGGGTTTAGCTTGAACAACAGATTTTGGGCCTTTGGGTTCAAAGCCCAACACACATTCGACGGCAATAATAAACCCTAGTTGCCATCCACCCCTTTTATACTCAAAATCCGACGACGCAGAACTTAGAGAGAAGAACAGCGAGAGTGAGAAACAATGGTGTCAGGGTCGGGGATCTGCGCGAAGAGGGTGGTGGTGGACGCGCGCCACCACATGTTGGGAAGGCTTGCGTCGATCGTGGCGAAGGAGCTTCTGAATGGGCAAAAGGTGGTTGTTGTGAGGTGCGAAGAGATTTGCATCTCTGGTGGCCTCGTAAGGCAAAAGATGAAGTACATGCGCTTCCTTCGCAAACGCATGAACACCAAGCCCTCCCATGGTCCCATTCACTTCCGTGCTCCCTCTAAGATCTTCTGGCGCACAGTTCGTGGGTCTGTCACTAGCCTCTAGCTCTTTTTCTAAAATCTTCGATTTACTCATGTTTATTAGTGAAGTTTGTTATTTTTGGGACAAATGTGTGATTTTTACATTACTAAGCAATGTTATGTTGTGGAAAGTGTTGTGAAAAATGATGTTTGTGTTTGTAGAATGATACCGCATAAGACAAAGCGTGGTGAAGCTGCTCTTGCTCGATTGAAGGTTTATGAGGGTATCCCTCCTCCGTATGACAAGACAAAGAGGATGGTTGTCCCTGATGCTCTCAAGTAAGTTATACATTTTTTCAATTTTTTTGTTTTATTATTGTTCTTATTACTATGGATTATGGATGCTGAAATGTTAATGGAATCAGGGTGTTGAGGCTTCAGAAGGGACACAAATATTGTCTTCTGGGCAAATTGTCATCTGAGGTTGGATGGAACTACTATGATACCATCAGGGTGAGTTTTTGCTCTCTGGGTGTTTTTTATCTTTGGAATATCTTTCTTTTGTTTGGAGTGTCTTATTGTTCTGTTGCTAACAGGAGCTGGAGAAGAAGAGGAAGGAAAGAGCACAATTGGCTTATGAGAGGAAGAAGCAACTTGCCAAATTAAGGGTGAAAGCTGAGAAGGTTGCAGAGGAGAAGCTTGGTTCCCAAATTGAAATTCTTGCCCCTGTTAAGTACTGAGTAGTCTTAGTGTTTTTTGAAGTTTTGTTTTGAGGTGTATACCCAATTGAACTCCGTTTTCAGTTTTGCTGGTCTTACGTGTTGTTGGATCTAGATATGATAATCTTGGAAGGTGTTTTAATTTCTTTGCTCTAGAATTTTTATGACATCCTATTAAATTACTTGTGGTTTTTGGTGTTGCCTAGCTATTATGAGAATAATGTGGGTTCGATTTGTTGGCATGAGATACCAAGAGGGAATTGTGAATCGACTCTCTTGCATATTTTGCAAATGGGCTACGTGGATTAGTCTTCAAATTTATTTTCTAGGCAACTTCGTTTTCTGCAGGGATTTTGATCTGGGCCGTAACAACTGACAAACGTGTTGTGCTCAGATATAAAATCTTGTTTCTCCGTCTGACCATGCGTAATTTCGTTTTAGTTGTGGTTGTTTAAACTTCAACCATGTCTTGTGATTGTTCATGCATTCAAGTAATTAAGTAAATTGTATTTGTTTAATCGATTTTGATCTAAATGTATATAGAGCATCGTAAATGCATTTTAAAGCAGGAAGATAAAAAAAAATTTGAAAATTGAGTATCTACGACAAATTAATCTGAACACATTTTTCTCGTAGGACCGTGGTTTAGACCAATTTGAAACGGTACTGAATCTCACGGACATCGCACGACCACCTTGGCGGGCATGTTTACTGGAATTCAAATGGACTTGAAATATTTTTGCCAAAATAGACGGCAATAACCGGAACTAGGTGTTATCTCAAGTTCACTTGTAAAGTTAGAAATCCCAAATAAAATTAGATAAAAGTCAACTACTTCAACATTTTAAGACATTGATTAGAACTAGGAGATTTTAAGTCATGTCATTCATGAAAAATCTTTCTCGCATTAAACCTAACATATATTGTGCTTAACCGTTTCCACGAGTAAATAAGCACGAATTGATCATTAATTGGTTATGTTGTTCCCTGCTACTCCCTCCACATCCTGAAACAAGGCTTTATGCTTCTCCCATGATTGAAACTTCATTTGGGTCTTCTTTTCGACCTCTTGACAGCTTGTGGCCGGTTCTGCTGCACGTAACATAACAGCTTCCATCTCCTTCCTGAGAGCAGCATTCTCCACCTCAAGCTTTTGGGACAGCAGCATTAGCTTGTTCTAGCTGCCCACTTGCTTTAGACACTGCATTTTCCATCTCAGAAAGCTTGTTCATGGTATTTTCCTCGAGAGATTGCTTCTCTTTTTTAAGACGCTCTCTCTTGCCCTAGTGTCTTAAGCTTACCTTATCCACTTTCCCAAACCCTTGTGACCAGCTTCAAAATCATCTAATCCTTTCTATCCTGAGGGTATCCATTGCCCAAGGGATTTGTCATACGGTATTGCCACAACTAGTCTTAGGTGCCTCATTATTGTAACAGATAGGTGTCGTAGAAAACTTACTTTTTGAAGATAATGAAAGTGGACGTATTCGGGGAAGGTGAGTTAAAATCATATCCCTATGCTATATTAACAACTAATTCGTCAAGAGTTCCCTTCGGTGCCCATTTATTTATGATAGCTTTCTCCCCAATGACATTTCAGATGCGATTAAGTTTGAAGTGTTAATACTCTCTTTATAACTGGGTAAATTTTATTGAGAATTACAAATTTAAATGGGTGTCAAGTTTCATAAGTCTAACTCATAATTTTGCAATTTTCAAGAGATTCCAAAAAATAGTAAAGTTTGTTAAATAATGTATTGATAGTACTCCTGAGTAAGTTTTTCACGCATGGTTGCGCATTGTCGCATAGAAAACTTGACTATAGGGCAGGCATCTCAACTCTACAAATATTGACATTCTTCAACTTTAGATCCAAGTTTTGAATATTAATCTCATTCTAACGTAAAAGGATAGCTTTCATGTAGTAACAATTTTATGACCTTTAGACAAATTTATGTTAAGTCTCGATTTAATATAATTTATAATTAATCAATCTTTTAACCTTCTAAATGACTAATTTATTTATTGGAGTTTTATATTCAAGTAATTCTAGTATTCCATTCTTTAGCAGTCCATTCAATTATTATATTGCAACATATTCTTAATTAAAATTTAAGTAATTTTATTCTTATATTTTTTTAAGAGTGACAATAATTATGTAACTCTTTTTCTCTCTTAATTTTATCCGTTAATTAAAAAATATGCTTGTGCTTTGCAGAGTTTATTTTTTATTAAATTAATTTATTTTAAAATATAAAATATATAATTTAAATATAAAAAATATATAAATATAATAAAACAATTTATTTGTCAAAATAAATTATTTTTAAAATTATTTAAAATATGTATAATTTTGTATTTCTTAACATAAAATAAAATAGCATACAAATATCTTATTTTTAAAATATAAAAATAAAATTTATATTATTTCATGATTATTTATTATTATTATTTTAAATAAATAATTATAATAATAAATTATTGAATATAATCAATTTGTTAATATACGTTATAAAATTTAAATAAAAAGTCTTATAATTTTTTTATTATATATTTGTTTATATTTATTGAATTAAATTTATATGATAAACTATCTATTTATACTTATAATTTAAAATTATTAATAAAATTTTACTATATAATATTAAATATAATATCATATTTTTTTAAAAATAACTTATTAGACTAATATATAAAAAATAAAGTATTTAATCAACTAATGTATGAAATTTAAAAATCTGCTTTGAATATCAATATACACAAAACTATATGTTAATATTTAAATATAAAAATATATTAAACTTTTTTATATATAAATAAAATTACCATACAAAAATATTGTAAATAAAAATTAATAATCATATAATATATATACTGAATTTAGAAGTTTACTTTTTGATAAAAAAAATATAGAATTGAATTTTTTTAAATGATTAAATTATTTTATATTTTTTGATAACTTAATAGAATTAATATTGATTGACATTATAAATAAATTAATTTTATTTAATAACTAATTAAGTATACTCAAATTATGTTATTTGGATCATAAAATTAAAATAATAAATTTATTAATTTTTCTTATATAATTATTTTTTATTTTTTGAAAATAATTAATATAGTTTGTTTATTATTTATCATTTTAATTAAGGATTAATAAAAATAAATATATCTATAAACTAATTGAATAATGAAATAATATTTTAAAAATTTTATTAAAAGAACAAATATTAATTTAAATAAAATTTAAAAATAAATTTAAAATGCTATATAAAAGGAAACACACATATTAAACTAAAAATAAGTAAAAAAAAAAAAGTATATTATTATTAGGTCTCCAATTATAAAAATAGATGTGTTCTAACTATTTTGATACAAATATAGTAAATTAGATATTTAAATTTTTTTTTTCAGATATTTTTTTTTGTCTATCTCTCTCATACATTATCTATTTTTATAAAAAGAGGTTAATATTTAGTGAACATGATTTATTTTTTTAATTAAAAAATATATAATTTTAAAAATATAACATAATAAATAATTATATTAATAAAAAAATATTTATACTGATTTCATATTTTTATGTATAATATTTGCATTTTGATTTATATCTTGAAAACTAATCATAAATTCACAAAATAATTAAATTTTTCTATTAGGAAGCACTTTTTTTTACGTTTGCAATTGAATGTTATCATAAAAATTTTCAAGAGCATTAGAATTTATATTCCAATCTAAAAAATTTAAATAATCATATAGTTAGAATATGAAATTCTAATAAATAAATATAATTTGATATGTTAATGTAAAAAATATTTTTATAACATTTTAAACACTAATTTCTATTTTTCTTGAATTTAAAGTCTTTTAATAGTTGTAAAGATTTAAACTTCATACTCATAAAATTTTAAAATAAATGATATATATAAAAATTAAATATAACATTTGAATTTAATTTAGAGTTAAAACGTTATATTTTTTTTACTTATTCATTCATTATGATAAAAAATTATTAAATATGAAAATAGAATAGTGAAATCATATTCATTTTAATTGTTATGATATTTAATAATTTTTAATTTATTTTAATTATTATAATTAATTAGTTTTAATTGAAGAGTTTTAAATTTATCATCATCATTATAGCATTTTATAAAAAAAATATTACAACAAAATTATTAAGTATGAATATTTTTAATTTTTAATTTAAAAAAAATTAAATTTATCATCATAATTATTATAATGTAACATATTATCTATGTTAATAGGTTATACATAATTTTGATATATTAATTTCTATTAAATTATTTTCTAAAAAATTAAAATAATAGAAGAGAAAAAAAGAATAGTTAAAAATTTTCAATTAAGATTTAGGTAAAAACTAAAAGAGAAGAATTATTGTATTTAATACAAAAATTAATCTTTATGTCAATTAAATTTACAGATGTTGATATAATATAAAATTTATGAATCACATATAAGATTTGTTTAAGAATAAAGTTAATACATAATATACATAATAATAAAAGAAGAGAGATATATATAATAAAATAACAAAATTATTTTATAAAAGACTTAAATATATGGTGATATTTTACTTTTCAGACTCTACACAATATTAAAAGTATTTATAGAATACTGTAATAAAAATGGTTCAATCTTCTAAATCTTTCATTGTTGTCTTTTGTTCACAATTTTTTGCTTCGTCTTCCTCAAGTTACAATCTAAAAGAAACTATTAAATATAAATTATTAATCTAAGAAATTTGAACAATACATACTAAATTTATAATTTATACAATTTTTTCATTTTTTTTGGGTAAATTAATTTGGTGTTTACATACCAAATCATTTTCTTTTGTTTTTGCATTTGTATTTCTAAACCTTCTTCTTTCTCAATCTGTAAATATCAAATAATGAAAATAAAGTTATTCATCATTGTATTATAAAAATTATAAATGAAAGTAATGAAATTTTAATTTAATTTTCCATATTTCCTTCACTGTCGGCTTCATAATTTTATTTATAGTGAAACTTTGTCTTCCACGACTTTCAAAGTAAGTACTCATTTTTATTTGAATAATATATGAAATGCCAATAATCTTTACAAGTTGTGGAGACAATTTTAACACTTCACCATTACCTTTAAAAAAATTATCACATAAAAATAGCTATATGTTTTAATATATATTTTTTTATAGGAAGTTAGAAATTAACACATTTGCTTACAATTTCAGATGTTACAATAAGATCTGTTAACTTTACTTATACTAATTGTTCAACAATTTCATCAAATAAAACAAATATAGTTGAATCTGTGAAATTTTTAACATCAAGCTAAAGACGAAACTTGTAATGTATATAAATTAAGGTAATAATATATAATTCAATTTATTTTAATATGAAAATTTAAAAATTAGAATATATAGTGATAAATTAATTACCTTGTCATTGAATACTCTACATCTTTATAACATGATTCATATTTAAAATTTATAGTTGTGAAAGAAACTTTCTTCTTACAATGAGAGCAAGAAACATAATACCAACCATTTTTAAGCATTACATCGT